GAACTAACCGGTGTAATGCAGGTAATAGCACTTCTTTTCTGAGACAGCCAGTGTTTAGTCCTGGTGATGAAGTTATTAACATGTACTTCATTGTCCTAGGAGTGTGTGCTCTGAATGGGAAATTGTACATTGTTGGTGGCTCCGATCCATATGGTCAAAAAGGCCTGAAAAATTGTGATGTATTTGATCCTGTAACAAAGTCATGGACAAGCTGTGCTCCTCTTAACATTCGTAAGTTGGTCGTTTTGTTTTGGGGGAGGTAGGGTTTTGCTATGTATTTCTGGCTAGCTTGAAACTTTGTGTAGACCAAACTGGCTGGCCTTGAATTAATAGATTATAGTACATATTTACAGTTTTGAGAGCTTTGGTAATAATCCTGGTTTGTCTTTTATAGGTAGACACCAGTCTGCAGTTTGTGAACTTGGTGGTTATTTGTATATAATTGGAGGCGCAGAATCTTGGAATTGTCTGAACACAGTAGAACGATATAACCCTGAAAATAACACCTGGACTTTAATTGCACCCATGAATGTGGCTAGGCGAGGAGCTGGAGTTGCTGTTCTTGATGGTGAGTATCCAGATTGGAGAGGTAAATAGTATGAGGTGGCAAGCATTAGTTCCAAAATTCCAAGAAAAGTCACTTACATAGTTATATACAAATTGCAGGGACTGGTGAAGTGGCTTAGCAGGTTGAATACCTGCATTATTGGCAAAAACCCTGAGATGGATTCCCCAGAACCCATGGAAGGAGAAAATTGGCTCTACATATTTGCCCTCTGACTTCCACATGTTTCTGTAGCATGAACCCCTATTTACACATAATTAGTGACACAAAAGGATTAAGGATGTTTCCCCTAAGTACCTGACATGTGCCTTAAATATATTCATTTACCCATCTCTTGGTGGGTATTCTTAACCGAGTTCCAAATTTCCCTCTGTGAGCTGTATCCATAACTCAGCCTTGTTTTTATTTTTGGTTGTGAGCCTAGCCTTTAACAGCTGAACTATCCCTCCAGCCAAGTTGACTTGTTTTTAAAGGATAGTAATTTTAAGAATTTTATTTCAAAGCATAATAAATCTCTCCAAAACAACAAGTTTTGTTTTGTAGACAGTGTCCTTTCACATAGTCTTTATTGATTGTTTTACTGTCTATTTATATATTAAGTTAACATCATTTGGAACAAAGCTGACTCTTACTACTTACCAGCCTTGTGGCTTGGCTAATGAGCAGTAAGTATGCTGACATAGTAGTTAGCTTCTCCTGACCCCGAACCGTCAACCCTTTGTGAACCCTGTTATAGCTACACACTTGCAAGCTGGCTAAGTGATAGAGAAAATAATGAATCTGAGAATTAGTGGTCCGCCCCCATGGTTTATTGCTGAGTTTTTGTTACAGTATATTTAACTATTAAATCTCTACTTTGCATAGAAACTTTAAAGTACTTAAGATGGTTCCATTTCTGCCCTTTTCTCCCTTGTAGTTGCATAAGTTTCTGAGGAATGGATTATTGTCCACTTAACTCATCTTAGAGCTATGGTTTACAGTATCCTCGTCACAATTACATAGACCTTGTCTTTTTTTTTTTTTTAAGACAAAATCTCACTGTAGCCCAGACTGACCTCAAACTGGTAGTCCTCAGTTTAGCTTCCTAAATGGTGACGTTACATGTCAATAAGTTAAGTACCTACAGAGGTATTTAATTAAAACTTTTAAAAAATTCTGGGTTTGTTATTTTTGTTTTGTTTTTCTGAACCTCTTTGGATTGACAGTCCTGTTTCTTTTTTAGGAAAACTGTTTGTAGGTGGTGGCTTTGATGGCTCTCATGCCATTAGTTGTGTGGAGATGTATGATCCAACTAGAAATGAATGGAAGATGATGGGAAATATGACTTCACCAAGAAGCAATGCTGGGATCACAACTGTAGGGAACACCATTTATGCAGTGGGAGGATTTGATGGCAATGAATTTCTGAATACGGTGGAAGTCTATAATCTCGAGTCAAATGAGTGGAGCCCTTACACGAAGATTTTCCAGTTTTAACAAATTTAAGACCCCCCCCCAAACTAACAGGCTTAGTGATGTAATTGTGTTTAGTAGAGGTACACTTGTGAATAAGGAGGGTGGGTGGGGTAGATGTTGCTAACAGCAACACAAAGCTTTTGCATATTGCATATTATTAAACATGCTGTACATACTTTTTGTGTTTGGAAAGGAATGCAAAGATGAAGGTCTGTTTGTGTATTCTTAAGGTGTCTTTGGTTATTTACTTTTTGAAGGTTGGTACTGTAAGAATAAACCATGAATTGATTGGGAACATCATTTCAAGTCCCTGCTCCTCCACATTTGTTTTGCCGATTTGCACATTAAATGACTCTTCCCTCTGGTTGTCTTAAGGGGCAAGAGGGGTAGGGTTTCAATGTAGGCAGTTGGGTTTTTTAAGGGCCCTTTTTCAATAACTGGAACACTCTATAACAAGATACTTATTTAAATAGATAACAATGACTATTTTTGTTTTTATTAAAAGAAAGCTGACATGCCTACCAATATTTAGTCTTTTATGATTACATTTTTATAACTTTTTATATTCTCAGCAGAGTGCTTTGTCTGTTGAAATAAAATGTGACAGATTCGAGTTATCAAAGCAGAGTGGCAGTTGGAAAAGATACAGCAGGGGGTTTCTTCTAAATGCTCAAAATGCAAACTCAAACATTTCCTGCAGCTGTACTTTTCCTTACTATTTGAGAATGCAGTATCAATGTTTATTTGGATGGAGTTGCTGAACAGTAACATGGTAATAATTCAAACCTGGGTTTGATGAGTTACTTGACTGATTCAGAGTAGGATGTTTAACCTGTCTTTATTTATCACTAACAAAACAATTGTAAGTGGAAGCCTTTGATTGGAAAAAAAATTAAACTGGGTTTGTGAATGCATCCTTTTCCAGAACTGTTTTGTTCAGTTTTCTATTTACCTGGATTAATACTGGTTGGGATGACTTGGTGTCTGATGTGTAGTACTACACACCTAACTTACGGTACCCAAATGAGCAAATCCTAATGCTTGCTGCATATGCAAACACATTAAAGGTACTTTGCAGTAAATTCTTGCACTGTGGGATTAATCTCCAAATGTTGCTTGTTACTCAATTCATTACTTACAATATGGGTGTCTCCTAGTAAGGATGAGCTTACAGTATTAGTGGAAAATACTCACTTGCAATATCTGAAGTAAGGGATGGCGTGATGTGGGTATATTTTCTTCAACTGTTTGGCTGGTCTTTTGCCACCTCCTTTCTCTGACATACAACTACCAAGAAAGAAACTCAGTTCACCTGCTATGTAATTCTTTTCCTGGTTTGGTTTTAAACTAGTTTGGCAGGTTAGCAGATTTGATGTGGCCTAATTATAGCACCATAAATAAAAAACCTGAGACTGATATGTAGGGTTCAAGCTGAGGGTCAGGTAAGCAAAGCAGCTGGCCACTAGCTCTTACCTCTACCTCAAACCAAAGGGTAATCATCAGTCTACTCACTGCTCAGATTTACTCAGACTGCTATGCTCTTCTCAACATGGCTAGAGACTTCATTCCCTTCCTACCCTCAATGTGCAGGAGAATGAATCTCCACATGAGATCTTTGTCTTTTATACCTCCCTAGTGCTGGGATTAAAGGTGTGTACTACCACTGCCTGGCTTCTATAGCTAACTAGTATGGCTGCTTTGCTATTTTGATCTCCATTGCCTTTTATAAATCAAACTATATCACCAAACCTAATACAGACCTCTCTATTCTGATCAGCCATGAAATAAAATTTGAAGATCTTAATAATCACTTCTCATTGCAGAAGTTATATGCTTCAGGTAAATAGTGTGACAATACTGGATATGAAAGTTTGCCTAAATTCACTGTTGGTGACAAAAATGTGTTACTTAAAGCATGCTTCTAAAGCAGCAGCAATAGGAGCTGGAGATGGCTCCAGTGGTTAGGAGCACTGACTGTTCTTCCAGAGGTCCTGAGTTCAAATCCCAGCCACCACATGGTGACTTACAATCATCTATAATGAGATCTGGTACCCTCTGGTATTCAAGGATACATGCAGGCAGAACACTGTATACATAATAAAACCTTTTTCTTAAAAAAAAGCAGTAATAACCTACCCCAAAACAACCCACAGATAGTGCTCAACAACTATCTGTTCATCTCTAAAAGTTATTTTCTTCAGATAAGAAGAAAATGGCATTGCCTGCATACTTATTAAAAATTAGAGGTTTACTTTATCATAATGTGGTCTGGGACAATCTTAAAATACTACTTGCAATGCCATTTTTCTTAAAAAAAGTATCTCTGGCTAGCTTCGAACTTACTATATATATAGTCCAGGCTGGTCTTAAACTCAAGAGATCTGCCTGCGTACTGGGATTAAATGCATGTCACCATGCTAGTGACACCATACCTTTTAAATTTTATTTCCATTTTACTTTTTAAGGTGTATTTTTTATGTGTATGAGTGTGTGCAGTACCCACAGAGGTCAAAAGGGTGTCCTATCACCTGGAACTAGAATTATAAAGGGATGGTTGTGAGTCGCCATATGGGTATTGAGAACTGGCCCCATCTCCAACCCCATTCTATACTTTTTGACCAATTGTACGTAAAATGTAGTGAGAAAACTTTAAATTTTCCTGTACTCAAGGCATGGGTTTTCTATCTTTTTTAAAGACAGGGATTTCAGAATGTAGCACTAGCTGGCCTGGAACTTTCTATGTAGACCATACTGGCTCTAACAGATTCTCCTGTTGCTGCTTCCCAAATATTAGAATTGAGGGCATGCAGTCCCCACACCCAACTAAATTTTTGTTTATTATGACTTAATGTAAGTGTTCTGATGTTTACAGTAGCTTGTCATTGCTCAGTGTTTTATGGTTCTCTAAAAGATAATCTTAGGGAAGGATGTAGTAGAATGCAAGAGTCCTTATTAACTAATCAAGTGTTTTTAATCTAACCTTTAACATCTCTAGAAGGAGGCAGAGGATAAAGGGTCCATGTTGAACAATCCCGTAGTTGCAGGGTTGCCTCAAGCACCTGAGTCACAGCAAAGTCTCTGTAGTATTCCTTCTTTCCTTTTTTGTTTGTCTTTCTTCAACAACAAAAATATCTGAAGGAGCTAGGTGAGTTTTAACATACATTCACTGAGAAGGATCTGAGTGGTAACATACAAGAAGGGGAACAAGGCATATATAGTGAGTAAGTGAATCACAATAGGAAAATCAGAACAACAAATCTACCCTTAGCGAGTTCAGTGTGAGTGGGATAAAGTTTGATCAGAAGTTAAAATGGTACAGTGGAAAGTATCTGCACAGTGGCCAGGAAAATAATTGATTTACTGTGGCTTGAACCTTTATTTCCAGCACTGAGAGGCAGAGGCAGCCTATTATATACATAGTGAATTCCAGGGTTGCATAGAATTTAAGGTAAACAAAATCCTACATTTTGCCAGTACTCGAGATTGTTAAGGGTCTCAGGCTGGGACAAATATTCTGCCTGTGACCCTGAACTCCACTGCTAAAATCTATCCTTACTGATAATGATACAGATGTATTAAAATATCAAAGTTGTTGGCATGGTCTACAGAGCAAGTTCCAGGACAGGCTCCAAAACTACACAACTACACAGAGAAAACCTGTCTCAAAACAAACAAACAAAAAAACCAAAGTAAATAAATACCAACATTGTTAGAATACAAAGAAAGTGTAGGCACTTTAAAAAGTGCATTTGCTGAGCTGTGATGGTGCATGCCTTTAGTACCAGCACTTGGGAGGCAGAGGTTGATATCTCTGAGAGTTTGAGACCAGCCTGGTCTAGAGTGAGTTCCAGGACAGACTCCAAAGCTACACAAAGAAACCCTGTCTCGGAAAAAAAGAAAAGTGCACTTCAGTAACACTGGGATAAAGCATTGGTGGCTATTTATAAAAGTAAAATTAGGTTCATTCACACTCAAAACTATATAACATTAGAGTTCCCCAACCTGAAAGCCACAGTAGCCTACCAACTAGCTAATGGTTTACTGCAGGCACTGACAGATTATAAGCATTGAGAAGTAAAACTCTGCCCCTGCTTTGACAACACATACTAAAATTGGAGCCATACATAGATTACCATGGCCCTATAAAATGACAACATGCAAATTTGTGATGAGTCCCCTTCTCCAGCCCAAAGGGCTTTTAGCCTTGAAACTAGTAAATGACTACTTTTAAAGGACAATAAATTTAATGCTGTCTATTCAGGAAGCTTATGACTGTTGATCAAAGTGTAAGAACTTCCATCAATGGCGGCAGAATGAACCTTTGAGAGCATCTAGCATAGACTGACTGAGCTTCTTAATCTTGGCTTATGTAGACATATCAACCTAGTTTTCCCCCAAATACAATCATTCGGCCCATCTTTGGCAAAACACTCTTAACTCCAATTTCTGTGCTTGGCCTTGACTTGGGAAAGCTCTTGAGGACAGTCTTCAACTAGATTCAGTGGTCACTGTACAAGGTACTTCACAATGAACACTCATGATTGTGGAAAAAGAAGAAATGATTTCTTGGGCATTGCTTAGGCGACCATTTTCAGCAAGTAAATTCACAAGGTTGGCAGGTAGGGAAACTTTTCCTTTGCTGTGATGTCATTCAGGCTTTTCACTTTGATGGAACACTCAATGCAGACACCGCGACTTGCTTTCTATTGACCCTGCTTAATCTGTTTAGACACAGGAGGGCCTGACCACAGATGTTCTAAAAGTCCCACACCTGTTGGAACATCCTGGATGCTGTGGCCATCTCCCAGGTTAACTGATTTTCATATTTTAAGTAAGGCAGAGAAACAAATGAGGAAAATATCCCCATACGAAACTTTAGCTTTCACATGGGCATACCGCATACACAAGTAGAAAGCATAATACCAATTCTGTGGCATTCTGGAAAAGGCAGAACAGAAGAAATAGCAAACATCTGGCATAAACCCAAAGGTAGGGATGGGAGTTAACCACAAAAGATCTCAAGAATCTATAGGGGTGATGGATGGGGCTTCTGACATGAAAGAACTGGTAATCACATGACTACATATTCAATAAAGCACACAATTCTACAAAGGACTTTTTTACCCAGCTTAACCTAATAAAGAGGTTCAAGTAGGACAAATCTATACTTTACCTCACTAGGGAATTAGTTACTCTCACCTTGGAGGCATCTGTACTGAGTTGATAGTTTAGCTCACATTATTAGTTTACAGTTGAGTTATAGAGGTTGAAGAGATTGAAATTCAAAAAATAATGTTAAAACTGAAATTGTGATTGCCGGGCATCGGTGGCTCATGTCTTTAATCCCAGCACTTGGGAGGCAGAGACAGGTGGATCTATGTGAGTTCGAGGCCAGACTGGTCTACAGAGCGAGTTCCAGGACAACCTCTAGAGCAGTACAGAGAAACCCTGTCTCAAAACAAAACAAAAAACAAAAACAAAAAACCTGATATTGTGGGACTAAAGTATAGGTTTTTGGTTTTGTTTTTCAAGACAGGGTTTCTCTGTAGGTTTGGAGACGACAAACCCGGTATGGTGCCACAATCCTGTAATCCAAGGCAGGTGGAGAGGGAGGAAGGAAGCAGTAGTTAAGATTTGAGTGCCTTTCATGTAGCCCAAACTAGCCTTGAACTAACAGCAATCCTGCATCAGCCTCCTGAGTGCTGGAATTAGTTGTGCCACACACACAGCTTTATGGATATTTTTGTGGTTTTGTTTTTCAGTTTTTTTTTTTTTTGTTTGTTTTTTGGTTTTTCGAGACAGGGTTTCTCTGTATTGTTTTAGAGGCTGTCCTGGAACTCGCTCTGTAGACCAGGCTGTCCTCAAACTCACAGATATCCACTTGCCTCTGCCTCCCCGGTGCTGGGGTTAAAGGCGTGCACCACCAATGCCCGGCTTGTTTTTGTTTTATGCATGGAAATGTTTTGTCTGTCTGTATGCCTGTGTACCAGGTGCACACCAGTCAGAAGCTAAAAGTGGGGTTCAATGCCCTGGAGCTGATGTTAAAGGTTAAAGGTGATGTTAAAGGTGAGCCATCAGTCTTGATTTATAGCTGTGGTTAGTCTCTGGAAATAACTATGTAGACTAAGCTGGTCTCAAACTTGTGGAAAATCTTCTTACCCTTTCCTTCTCAATACCTGGATTACAGGTGAGCCACCACACCTGGCCTCCATGGATGTGTGTGTAGAACAAGGGTCGACATGGACTGTATTCCTGCCACTTCCTAAGATAAGGTCCCTCAGTAAATCTTTTTTTTAACATTTTTTTTATTTATTATAGATAAAATGTTTTGCCTGCATGTATGCCTGCAGGCATGGCTGCAGGCCAGAAGAGGATACCAGATCTCATTATGGATGTATTTGAGTCACCATGTGGTTTCTGGGAATTGAACTCAGGACCTCTGGAAAAGCAACCAGTGCTCTTATCTTCTGAGCCATTTCTCCAGCCCCCCTTCCCCCAGTGAATCTTAACCTCACTGACTCAGCTAGATTGTCCTGCATGCCTCAGGGATTCTCTTGTCTGCTTCCCCTGTCCTGGGATTACTGGCTTTCTCAGTTGGGTACTAGGTATAATACTCTGGTTCTCAAATTGGCGTGGAGAGCTTTTACCAAACACCTAACCCTGCCTCAAATAAAATTCTAAACTGGAGGGACGGCTCAGAGATTAAGAGCACCTACTGCTTTTATAGAGGACCCAGGTTTGATTCCCAGTACCCACATGTTGGCTCACAACTTCAAGTACAGTTCCAGGGTATACACTGCCATCTTCTGATTTCTATGGGCACCAGACACATACCTGGCACACACACACATAGATACAGGCAAAATAATTATTATATACACAAATATAAATATTTTTGAAAATTCCGTGTTTAGATATTTGGTCCTATTTTATGAATTTTCCAACCTAATTTTACAAAAAACAGATCCATTTCCTTCCTAGGAGAGGATATTCTGGTTTGGTAGGTCCTTGGCACTATTTGGGGGGAGGGCAAGGAAAACTGTAAAGAACTGAAGTATATAACACTTCACTAAGACTTGCACAAGACTTGGACAATTGTCACTGCAGATTGGAACTTCACAGATAGCTGTTTCACCTTGACATTGTAAGTCTTTGCTGGTTACAGAGAAAACCATCACAAGGCAGACCTGAGCAATGCTTTCTCAATATTATGAATGGAACAGCTTTCTTGAGTCAATTCCTGTTTATGTATTGTTTTGGTCAACTCAGCCCAGGTCATAGTGTTGACACTCCTGATTGGACAACTTCCTGGTCCACCTGTCTGGTGGAGTGCTTTTCAGCCTTGAATCATCATGATAGGCTGGGATGAATATCCTTCTCTACCGAGTCTTCAAACAAATCTGTATGTACTTGCAATCCAGAGACTAGACAAGCTGGCCACCCTTTGTTTTTATTGCTCTTAGGATCTTTTCCTAATCAACCCACTAAAGTGTCTAAACCTCCATGCAAGAGGGAACAACCCTATCCTATGTTTAATTCAGTATGACCAGTTGTAGTCAGTGTTGACAAATTGACTAAGTTTTGGAAGCTCTGTGGTATTGTGGTATGCTCTATGGGTAATAAGCCACTTAATAAGTCATTGCACCTCTATTAAATCTTGGAATGTACCTCATAAAGACATTCTTCTGGAGTCAAAGCACCCTCAAATGTTGTCTTTCCTAAAGGATTTAACACCTTATGTACTGCAATAAAAAGAGTGTGATACCCTGCATCCCGGTGAGAAAACTAGTAACGGTGCATACCTGTAATGTTAGTGCAGGAGCATCAGACAGAAGAATCCTGAGGCTTGCTGGACAGACAGTCTAGCTGAGTCAGTGAGGTTAAGGTTTATTGAGGGAACCTTTCTCAGGAAGTGACTCATTCACTCTCTACCTTACTTCTGAGATGGTGTCTGGCCAGTGAGCTCTGCAGATCTGCCTGTCTCTGCCTCTATAGCCTGAAGATTATAGGCAGATGCTGATGTGCTGGCTTTTCATGTGGAAGCTGGGAATCAGCATTCAGGTCCTCATGCTTTCATGGGCAAGCATGATCCTGAAGTCAACACGGTATGCCTATAATGCTAGTCTTGTGGAGACCAAAGCAGGAAAACTGTCACAAGTTCCATGTCAAACCGATCTATCAGGCTAACCAGGGATATGTAGCAACACTGTAGTCTTAAAAACCAAGAAGGAAAGCCAGGTGTTGGTGGCGCATGCCTTTAATCCCAGCACTCCAGAGGCAGGGGTAGGCAGATCTCTGTGAGTTCAAGGCCAGCCTGGTCTATAGAGCTAGTCCCAGGACAGTCTCCAAAACAATACAGAGAACCCTGTCTCAAAAAACGAAAAAAAAAAAAAAACCCAAGAAGGAGGAAGATTTCCTGATATGATGAAGCTTTTAGTAATCTAGAGGCTCATGGTCTTGCTGGGACACTCAATTTGTCTACATACTTTAACATGTGGGTTTTTGCGCCTTGCAAACATACAACTGAGCAGCTGAGCAGATCCTGCACCAAGTACTACTGCACATCCAGAATCAATTCTTGTTAATGGAAAGACTCACTTTTATAATCATACCTTATACTCATTTCAGAAAGTATTTGCAAGTAAACTGAAAAGCAAATATTACTAAAATAAGTTATTTATTGCTATTTAAAAATAAACATTTATTATAGAATATCAAATCTGATTTACCCTAATATATTAACAAAAGCTTAATACACTCCAGTAAACAAGGATTTCCAACTTAATGTGTAACTAAGTCAATTAAACACTTGAGTTTTAGGTAGAGGCAAACAGCAGCTACTGCCATGTAATTAATTCCTCAAATCCACACTGCTTCATATGAAGGGGAATCCGCAGAGGGGTTCTTCCACACTGGAAATGCACAGAAAAATGACACAACTCCCAAAGCAGCTACAGAGAAGAAGGTGCTAGATCAAAATGCTGCTTTATATCCCTGAAGGTGGTGGTGGTTTTTCCCACCAGTTTTACAAAAATGACGGTTTGTTCATGAAAGCAGCCCATTAATGGAATGTGGTAGCATGGTCATGTCTTAAGTCTTAGGGCTTGGCAGTGTCTGGTCATATGCCCACATTCAGAGGAGAGATGCTAAGGCTGTGGGCTGCCATCATGTCACAGTGATTCCTGCCTCAGAAACACTAAGACAATGGCTCTCTTCTCTTTAGAGGTAGGAAGTATTGGCAACTTCAGAAGAGCTGAGTCTACAGTTTATCCTACAGCTGAATCAATGAGATTATCAATAAAACATTTTTTTATCTATGAAAGATTGTTTTTGATAATTATTCTAGGTTTAGTTAAAAAAAAAAAAGCAACCAGTTTGAAAGTTACTGTGTTACTCATGATGATAGGTGCCATTCTTCCCAAGAACTTAAGTCCTGTTGTTGAACATGTCTTCACACCATCCTCTGTTTTTGGCCTCCATATAGACAGATGCATTGCACTGCTGCATGGTATACTCCATCTCAATCAGTTGGCGGCATCCAATTGTTAATTTTTCCCTAGGGGGAAAAAGGGGGTAAATCACAGAGAATAGTCAAAAATCCCAGGACTCCAGAGGCAGAGGCAGGCAGGTATCTGAATTCTAGACAACCTGGTCTATGTAGTGAGAGTTCCAGTATAGCCAGAGCTACACATCCTGTATCAACAAATATTTATTCATAATTGTATATATACATGTATGTCTATGTGTGGGCTTATCCATATGAATGTAGTGCCCACAGAAGTCAGAAGAATGTGTAAAACCCCCGGGGGTGGAGTTACAGGTGGTTGTCAGCTGCCCAAATTGAGAGCTGGCAACTGAACTCTAGTCCTTTCCAAAAGCAATATGAACCTCTTAATCCCTGTGCCATCTCTCCAGCCCACCCCCTACATTTGATCCTTGGACTCATAGTAAAAGGAAACAAGTGATTATCCAAATTGTCCTCTACCTTCACATTATGTTGTGGTATACACACACACACACACACACACACACACACTTCTCAGATTAAAAACAAATAGTTATATTTATATAGCGGGGTGTGGTGGCTAACGAAAGGCTAAAGCAGGAAAATCCTCAAATTCAAGGCCTATCTCCCATACAAAAATGAGCTCCTATCTCAAAAGAAAAAAACATATCAAAAATAAGAACTGTAGATATTTACTGTATATAGTATGGCTTGAAGTATACATTATGGAATTGGCTTGGTTGAGGTATTTAATATATATCATGTCCCCAAAATCTCTTGAACGACTACTCATAACTGAAATTTTGTGTCCTTTAATTAACAACCACCAAATCTTACAACCACTATCCTGGTGACCACCAATCCGCCTATTTCTGGAATCCACTATGTTGATTCTACACAAAGCAAGCTCATACAGTGTTTGTTTTTCTGCTATTATAAGACACTTAACATAATGGTGCCCAGGTTCATCCATATGTCTCCAACAATAGGACTTCCTTCTTTTCAAAGGCAAAACAGTATTCTGCAGATCATTTTCCTTTATCTGTTCATTAGCTGGTAGGCATTCAGATTGATTTCCTATCTTGGCTACTGTAACTGATGTTACACTGAACATGAAAGTGCAGAAATCTTTTAAATAGATTATGTCCATTTCCTTTAGATATATTAGAAATTCTTTTTACTTGACAGTACTGACGATTAAGCCTAGACTTTATGCATGTGAGGCAAGTGTTCTACCAGCCAATATTCTTAATGTGATGTGACAATTTCAGAGAAAATGCTCTTCTTAGCAAAGAGCACAGTTTCTTAAATACCTGAGAAGACTTCTAGCTGTAATTCCTAGAATTCAAAAATAAGAGTTCCCATGACAAACCTCTGTAAATAAGCAAAGTTGAATGTTTAAGTAGAATACTATGGGCTGAACAGCCTAATTATCTACCTTACTCTCTGAAGGATCTCTCCTTGCTTGTATTTAAATGTCATCTGGGAGTAAATGACACTGTAGGACAGATGGTTACACTCTATCTACTTCAGGTGGAGAGTTAAAGAAAGGTGAACTGTAGAGCTCACTTCCTGTAGGAACAGACACTTGAGAAAAGGTGAGGTGCCATGCTACCACTCTTAAAAAGGCTGGTGGTGGGCCAGCATGAATGCTCTGTGGGTAAAGGTCTTGGCTGCTAAGCCTGATGACCTGAATGGTCTCTAGAACCCACATGGTATTAAGAGAGAACCAACTCTAAGCAAACTGTGCTCTGACCAACATATTACCTCATCCCAAATAATAAAACCACAGGTGTAAGGCAACTAGCAAATAAATGATATTTATAACTCTAAACCAAAGGTAGGATATGTTGGGAGTGGTGCCACACACCTTTTTAATCCCAGCACTTGAGAGGCAGAGGCAGAGACCAGTGGATCTATTTGACTTTGAGGCCAGTCTGGTTTTAGTGAGTTCTAGGCCAGCAAAGGCTACATAATGAGATCCTGTCTTAAAATAAACAAACAAACAAAAAAATGTGTGAAAACAGGAAGTCATGCCTAATACACTTCATGCCTACATCACAATTTTTTTAATTACTACTTTAAAACAAGATTTATTTTTACTTACATGTGTTGTGGAATATTTGTTTAACTAGGCAAAGATGTGTTACATTTGTTTCTGCTGCATTTATTTAATTATTTAATTGTAAAGATGTGTTGCTGTTTCACCTTGCCTGCCTGAGGCACCTGCTTGGTCTAATAGAGCTGAATCACCATTAGCTAGGCAGAGAAAGGATAGGCAGGGTGGGCAGGCAGAGAGAATAAATAAGTTGGAGGAGGAGGAAAGAATGGGGGTAAGAAGCCAGACAGTTGCCAGCTAGCCAGACACAAGAAGTGGTGAAAGTAAGATAGGAAGGAAGGAAGGAAGGAAGGAAGGAAGGAAGGAAGGAAGGAAGGAAGGAAGGAAGGAAGGTGAGAGGGTGGGTGGGAGGGAGGGAGGGAGGGAGGGAGGGAGGGAGGGAGGGAGGAAGAAGGAAAGGTAAAAAGCCCCAAGACAAAATGTAGATGAAGGTTCAGTTATAAGAGCTGGTGGGACAAGCATAAGATAGGCTGAGCACTCATAACCAATAAGAAGTCTCCATGTCATGATTTGGGAGCTAGTTGGGGGCCCAAAAGAAAAAAACCCTGCTATATGTGTATATATTTTTATTCATGTGGAAGCCCAAGGGCCAGAGGCGGATACTGATGGAGTTAACAGGTGGTTGTAAGCCACCCAACTTAAGTTCTGGAAATGAAAATCAGGTCCTCTAAAAGAGCAATGAGTACTCAATTGCTGAGCCATCTTTCCAGCTCTAATTTACTTAAAATAAAACAAAACAAAACACCTGAGATGAGAGGACTGAAGAGATGGTTCAGAGGTTAAGAGCACTCACTAACTGCTCTTCCAGAGGTCCTTGAGCTAAATTCCCAGCAACCACAGGGCAGCTCACAACCATCTATAATGAGAGTTCCAGGACAGCCTCCAAAACAACCCTGCCTTGAAAAGCCAATTAAAAAAAAAAAAGCCATATGGAAACCTACTACATTGGAAGCTTCCTAAGTTACACACACATATATACATGTAAAAGGAATTTCAGTGGAGTTATCCTGATAATGAGAGTATAACACCCAAACTGGATACCCTGCACTATCAAATAAAAACTCACTACTAGGAATAGATTACTTCTTTTTAAGTTGTTGGCCAATGGGATCCAATAGACTCCCAGACATTATAGTCTACTGGCACTGTTCTTGATTGCCCTCCAGAATTTGACAGTAAGATCCTATTGCTGGAAACACTACATAATTGAGTCATAAACATGGAGAGATCAAGTGGGTGCTGACCTGGAAGCTTCATCTAACTGGTTGGCTTTTACAGAGCTGGAAGGTGCTAGACACGATTCCAGAGGAAAAAAGGAATTATCAATTTCACTCAGCCCTGAGTCTTTTGAGCTACAATAATGACTTGCCTGGCAAGATATGCCCACTGGTACAATAGTGGCATGAATGTTATGGGGGTAACCAACCAAATTCTGGCTGTATTTAAGGCCTGTTCCAGAAGATGGATCCATGCCTGGCACTGTTAATGAGGCCAAGAGCCTGTGGCTTGATAGGCCATAGGTCATTGTAGTAAAACTATTAGCAATTCTGCTAAATGGATACAGCATTAAAATGGCTCCTAATGACTTACTGATATACTACAGATAAATCTTTGTTTCAACCTCCATCAGAGAAGATTCTTACTACAGAAGATGTTGATCAACACAGAGAACCACAATGGTCAAGATGGAGAGAATAAAAGACTTGGGAGGTACTCAGCCCTAAAGGGAACATCTATATCACCCTCTCCCCTTTAAAGCTCATGGATCTTTGAGGAAGAGAATGGGAGGATTGTAAAAGGCAGAGACAGTAGAAAGAAATGGTGTTTTCTATACATAATAACAGGGCACATGCACATACAAATTCAGAGATTGTGACAGCATAGACAAGACTTGTACAAGTTCAAGCCAGACAAAATCAAAGTATGCAGGGAAGGAGGTATGGGCACATAGTCTCACCCTTCCATGCAGTGTTGTTGGCATTTGATAGTTGTCAGTAAAGACAAAGCCAGTATTTCTCTAACAGTGTGACCTCTACATTCTATGGTAGGTCCCACACTCAAAAGAGTGGTTGTCCAATACATACTGGACTTGATGGGAGGAGGAAGAGAGGGAGAGGGAAAGAGAAACACATGAAGTTGGGCAGGTAAGAAGATGGGAGGGGTGAATATGATTAAAATACACTATATGAAATTCTTAAAGAATTAATAATAGTATTACTTTAAAAAATGTTGGCTTTGAGTTATCCTAGGTCTACTTCCTATACTTCAAATGACTGTGATTTTTGCTGCCAGTTCTTCAGAACTACTCAAAAAAAGAAAATATTTTCAGAAAAGCCTTGCACAAGGTTCAAAATAGCCAAGATGAAAATGAAAATGTATTCTTATAAATTCTAAAATAAAACAAAAAGGGCAGGTCCATATTCCTACCTTTGGTCATTTATTCTACATTTGAAAGCAAATGAGTGTATCTTTCAATAACCAAATCTATTTCTGTACCTTCCTTTTCCTTCCCCTTCCTACCCTCAGAGTTAGGAGGGGCGTCCCCCTCTCCTCTTTAGCCTAGTGGTGCCGAACTCCTTCCCTTCCTGTGAGTCAGTGTTCTGGCAACAACCACTCAGTTATTTCCTGCAGCAAGCTGTCAGTGCAGGAGGCTGCTCGGTGCAGTTGTGTGGTCACCTGTTGGACAGATAACCAGCCTCTGAATTCCATTCTCCAGCATCTCGACTGAGTCATCTCCCTTGAGCACTCACCTCTTGGTAATGGGACACTCACAAACATGAGAAGCAGCTCATTACATTTTTGGATACTTCCTAACTGCAAGAAGGTTCTTCCCTGGGGCCTATAAAAGCCATTTATATCTGAGTACAAGCTAAAATGAAAGCTATTTCCACTATCTTCCTCTAATAGTCTTATTAAGTTGCCGTACTGGCTTAAATATGTGATCTTCACATTTCAGCATTCCAAGCATCTGAGATTACAGGTATTCACCACACCTACCTAACACTTTAAAGTTCTAAGTTCACAGAACAGATAGATATGGCTCACATGAACAAAATAATCCATGAAAACAGATGGTGGTCTATGTCCACAGTTCCAGCTTCTAGGGAGGTTGGGATAACAGGACTTGGAGGCTCTCACAAGTTCAAAACTAGTTTGTGCAATAGATCAAGGCCCTGTCTCAGAGTAAATACATGCACACATGTAAGAATCTTGAGGTCAAACATTTGAAATTCACTTTAAAGTATATTGATGATAAATTAACACATGCTTTCCACATATATGGAATATTTTGTATCAATAAAGGTTAAAAAAATCGTAAAAGGGTTCTTCTGGGAGACAAGATTGTGCTTGTTCAGGATTGTGCTTGCCATGAAAACATGAGGACCTGAATGTAGATTCCCAGCTTCCATGTGAAAAGCCAGCACATCAGCATCTGCCTATATAATCCTCAGACTATAGAGGCAGAGACAGGCAGATCCGCAGAGCTCACTGGCCAGACACCATCTCAGAAGTAAGGTGGAGAGTGATTGAAGACAGTTGATCTCCTGCTGGCCTCTACGACCTTACACATTCATGTTACACACACACACACACACACACACACACACACACACACACACACACACACACACATACACCATAAAAAAATGGCTTCACCCTCTCACAGTGATAGCAAACAGGGTAAAAGTTTGTTTTAGATGTCTCCTTATCTACATATAGATGTGCTTACCGATACTCAGTCTGAGAAACACAATCATAAAGTTCCTGGGGAGTAAATCTGACACTTTTGTTTACCTGAAAAAGAGTCAAAAAACAATTATTAAGGAGATATGTTAAATTAAATGAGCAAAGAAAGCACAATTAGAATGCGGTCTATTCTGAGAGCAGACTCTCATATCTTCTGTCACTCCCTAAAAGACAACTAAAACAGTAATAGGAAGAAGTTTGTTAATACTGAAGTATGTTCACACTTTGGTCCTATTATTACAACTTAATCTATTCTCAGAATAGAAATAGTAGAAACAAGATGAACCTGAATGTGATGGAATCTTTCCTTCCCCACATTCACTCATTATTCCCTTTTTTCCTTTCTTCCCCCTTCCTTACAGTTCTAGGAATTAAACTCAGAACTTTATGCATGTTAAGCAAATGCTCTGTCCCAGAGCTACACTCTAGCCCATTGACATTTCCTAAAAGCCTTTATTTTAAAAAGTGTTAACCAAAGACATAATTCATAAAACCATAAATATAAAAGTCCATCATTCAAACTGTTGCACACCTGAAAAACAAAATGAAGTTATCTTCTTTTTGAAATTTTATTTTGTCGTTAGTGTGTGGGTAAGTGTCAGGTGAGAAGACAATTTAAGAGTCAGTTCTCTCCTTTTGAGATCCCTGGAACTCACATTACCAAGTTAGCACAGCAAGCTGGCCTAATCTTTTATCTCTTGACGCTCACTACTACCAATGCAGACAATGTTATAGTTATGTACAAGAAAGAACCTTGAAATTTGTGAGGGAAATTTTATGTAAGTGTATTCTTGTTTTTGGTGCTAGAGACTGAACCCAGGGCCTTACTAGCCAAGTACAGCCAATGAGGTGCATCCCAGCCCTCAGAATTTCATTTTTAATGTATAATCCTCCTGCCTCGTCCTCTTCAGTACATTGCCCACCATCAAGGGTCACCTCAGTGGGTGGCAAATTCTCTCTCTTTTTTTAATCAGATAAATCAACAAATAAAACAGTACTAATTAAATTTCCAGAAATTTGGACTAGTGGAGAAAAACTCAATGAAACTATCTTCAATTCAATTATTTTCAAAAGTATGTAAACAGCTTCAGACACAGCTCACTGTAGAGTGTGAGACCAAGAACACAATATCTAGTACTATAAAAGAAACCCAAGTTTTACTAGCTAGTTCATGTTTTTTGGTGGGGAAAAATATCCCTACCCTGATTCAATCACTATCACTGTAAAGATTCTTATAAAAACCAGGCGTTGGTGGCACATGCCTTTAATCCCAGCACTCGGGAGGCAGAGGCAGGTGGATCTCTGTGAGTTCGAGGCCAGCCTGGTCTACAGAGTGAGGTCCAGGACAGCCTCCAAAACAATACAGAGAAACCCTGTCTCGAAAAACCGAAAAAAAAAAAGATTCTTATAAAAATGATCTATAGAGGTCAGGCTTATATGAAAAATTTCATAACTTTTTTCAACTTTTTCATAAGAAACTACCCATATTTATGAAGAAATGCTTCACTTACTCTAAGTATATAAATTTTTTAAATACAACTATTTTAGGGCTGGGAGTATAGCTTACTGGTTAAATGCTTGCCTTCCATGCATAAATAAAGCCCTGCCAAAATATTTGAGAGAGGGAGATAGGTATAATCTTTTTTTTTTTTTTTTTTTTTTTTTTTGGTTTTTCGAGACAGGGTTTCTCTGTAGCTTTGGAGGCTGTCCTGGAACTCACTTTGTAGACCAGGCTGGCCTCGAACTCACAGAGATCCGCCTGCCTCTGCCTCCCAAGTGCTGGGATGTAAAGGTGTGCGCCACCAATGCCTGGCAGGTATAATCTTTTAAGTTAATATAATCCTGGTATTTTGTCTAAAATGAGGATCACATGTCTATAGATTAAATTTCTAACAATACATATACTTAATGACTGGTGAAATTGGTGTTTAGTTTATCATGATTTTATGTGATTAGTAATTATTTTTTGTATGTGTACCGTGTGTGGTTTATGTGCATGTGTACAAGTGGGCACGTATGTATGAAGGCTAGAGGTTAACGTTAAATGTCTCCTCAGTGGCTCCCCTTACATACTGAGGCAGCATCTCTCATTTGAACCCAGATAGCCAGCTTGCTCCCAAGATTCCATCTCTGACTGTTACATGCTTGAATTACAAAAGTGCTACCATGCGTACCTGGCTTTGACATGGGTCCAGTCCTCATGTTTATATGGCAAGTGCTTTACCCACTGATCCACTTTCCCAGTTCTGTAGTTTTTGTATTTAAGACTTACTTATTTTATATCATGTAAACAAATGTTTTGCTTCTGCACAAGAATGTGCATCATGTGGATGCCTGGCGCCCTCAAGAGGCCAAAAGAGAGTACTGGAGTCCCTAGAACTAGAGTTGCAGCTGTGAGCCACTATATAGGTCCAAATTTGGGTCCTCTACAAAAGCCACACTGGCTCTTAACTGCTAAGTCATCTCTCTCCAGCTCATTAGGCTTTGGGGTTTTGTTTATTTCTTTTGTTTTTAGTTGATATGTCTATTCTGAGAACTCACCATGTATCCCTGGCTGTCCTGGAATTTGTTACATGGGATTACAGGCATGAGCTTCCATACTTAGTCCCAGCCCTATTTTTGTTTTAAAAATCATTTAAAAATTTTCTAAACATACATTTAGAATTAAAACATCATAAGCCGAGTTTTTTCTTTTGTTCATGTTTTGCCCTTACCCAAAGACCTGTGATTTTGTTGGAACTGACCCACACACCAGGACCAACACAGTATCAATCCAAACAGACAATCCATGTTAACAGGCTGCAGATGTTTGATCATAGGAGGAAGGAGAATAGTCTGGTTGATTAGTGGTTGGGAGAAAAAAATGAGAGACAGCTGAACAACTGACTTTTGAACCTGATATATTAAGAATATAAAATAATTTTCTAAAAGATTTTATTTTAAAAAGTATCTAGAACTACCCTTTATTTTTAAAATCAACCATCCACATATACTGAGATATCTGGTATAAAGGCAACAGGACTCCACATTAAGTTAAACAATACAGCAGGCTTTATAAATTGCTTAACTTAATTTTACTAATAAAAATTAAAGCACAAATTCATGAAGTCTGTAGTTAACTATTAAGACATTTTTCCATTTTTCCTTTACTCATTTGGAGGCATTTTAAATTGTTCTGTTAAACATCTTCATGTATGAATGCACTGCGTGCGTGCGTGCGTGCGTGCGTGCATGCGTGCGTGCGTGCGTGCGTGTGTGTGTGTGTGTGTGTGTGTGTGTGTGTGTGTGTGTGTGTGTGTGTACAAATACTCACAGAGGCCAGCAGAGGGCACTGGACCCCTGGAACTGGAGAATTATAGGCAGTTCTCAATTGCCTGACCTGCCTGACCTACAAGCAATATGTGTTGTTAACTGCTGAGCCCCTCTTTTGTTTTTCTTTTTGACACAAAATCTCTCATATCCCCAGCTAACCTGGTACTTACTATGTAGTCCATGGTGGTCTCTACATCATGACAATTTTTCTGCCTCAGCCTCATGAACGCTGAGATTACAGGTATGAGCTATAATGTTCAGCCAAACATTATCTTGTATATCTTAAATACATATTTTTTTAAAACAAGCACAAAAATAAATGTCACTGGCAAATTTTTATGATACTTTCAAGTTTTAGGCCAGCCTGAACAAAACAGCATGAAAATGTGTCAAAAATTTTTTTTTATTTAAAGAAAATACCAGGGGGTGTGGAGAGATGGCTCAGTAGTTAAGAGCACTGGTTGCTCTTCCAGAGGTCTTGCGTTCAATTCCCAGCAAACATATGGTGGCTCACAACCATCTGAAATAAGATCTGGTGCCCTCTTCTGGCCTGCAGGGATAGATGCAGGCAGAACACTGTATGCATAATAAACAAATAAATCTTTAAAAAAAAGAAGAAAATACTGTATTTATTTATATTTAAACAATAATAAATCTTTTAAAAAAGAAGAAAATACTGTATTTATTTATATTTAAACAATACATAAATATAAGTAATATATAAATATTTTTCATACCTCATACTTGATTAGGAAGTTATAGAGAGTCTCAACATCTTGGTAATTACTATTAGGAGCCAAAATCCTAAAAAAAAAAGACAAAAAAAAACCCCAGTAAATTAACAAAAGGACTGTCATAACAAAGAAGTTTCCCTCAATCACAAATATTATAAGACATTCACTAATATTTACTGTGCTAGAGACATATCTCAGCTGATAGAATGCTTATATAATATACACTGGGCCTGGTGACACACACCTATCATTCCCACACTGGAAAATAAAGGCAGGAAGAGTAGAAGTTCATGGTCATCCTTAGCTACATAGTAAGACTGAGGCATGTCTGGGTCACATGAGACCATGTCTCAAAACACCTAAACATTCATTGACCGCTTATTGGCCAATAACATGTCATTACCTTTTTTACCTCATTCAAATTCTTAGGGGGCTTGTTATAAAATAAACTACAAAAAGTAAAGTTATATACAAAATGGGAAATGGAAGGTGGAGTAACTATGTCTTGTCATTTATAAACAATAGGTTATATTATTACTGGTACTAATCAAAGCAAATGATACACTTGGTGACAGAAAGAACCAAGAGTGTATGGAAAGCCTGATAAAGAAGCACAGTGACATCTGAGGAGCCACAGAAAAATTTGTTGAAGACTGTGGTGTGGGTGCATTTCTCAACCTGGAAAAAATTGATCAAGAGACTAATAGACAATTTTTTAAAATTTCATAAAAATCACACATCATAAGAAACACATAAATCCCAGAGCTTTGCAATTGTTTTAGAAAATGACTCGCCAGATGTTGGTGGCCCAAGCCTTTAATCCCAGCACTCGGGATGCAGAGGAAGGCCGATTTCTGTGAGTTCGAGACCAGCCTGGTCTGCAGAGAGAGTTCCAGGACAGACTCCAAAACAATACAGAGAAACCCTGTCTCAAAAAACAAAAACAAAATCAAAAAAAAAAAAGAAAAGAAAGAAAGAAAACAACTCCAAGGGCAAAATGGCATGGAGCACTTGCTGCATAAACATGCAAACATGAATTTGAATCTGCAACACCACAGAAATAGTGCTCTTGGTACCTCAGTGCCATGAGAAGTAGAGAGAAGGGGAGCTATCTACCAGCCTGGCACTAGCTTAGCTTCAGGAGTCTCTGTCTTAAGGGAATAAGGACACACATGCCATTCTCCTCTGGCCTCCACATACATGTACAGGTAGATATGCCTCCTACACAAATGTGCAAATACATCAGAGAGAGAGATAGAGACAGACAGAGAGAGAGAGAGAGAGAGAGAGAGAGAGAGAGAGAGAGAGAGAGAGAGAGAGAGTGCATGCGCACACGAGTGCACTCTCTTGAAAGGTATTTCAATCCCAAACCATAAGATGTGTTTTACAACTAATAAATAATCATTTTTTCTTAAAAATCAAGCACAGGTTTAATTTTTAAAATCAAAATTTAAAATCACAGGCCTACACGGTCAAATATATATGTTAGTAATTATTTATTCCTCTACCTAAATAAAAAAAATCCAAATAACATAAACAAAGTCATCTAAACTTAAGAGACAGCCTCAGGGGCTGGGAAACTGGCTCAGTGGATGAAGAGCTTGGATGAAGAGCTTACTGCACAAGCAAACATTGAGATCTGAGTTCAGATTACCAGCACCTACACAAAAGCCAGACATGGCTGTGGTGCACATCTGCCACCCCAGTGCTAGGGAGTAGAAACAGGCAGATTCTGGAGCTCACTGGCCAGTCAGTCTAGTCAAAAGACAATCTCCAGGTTCTGTGAAAGACCCTGTCTCAAAAACTAAGAAACAATCAAGGACATCTCTCTCTCTCTCTCTCTCTCTCTCTCTCTCTCTCTCTCTCTCTCTCTCTCACACACACACACACACACACACACACACACACACACACACACACACACACACACACACACACACACAGGACAAAGAGAGAAAATGAGAATATATTTCAAACACCAAGTTTCCCATATGGAAGACTGACTTGCTTCTCCCCCTTTCCTCTCCTACAGAATATATGAAATGAAGAAAGGTAAATCTAAAAACCAATCATCTGCTAGGAGTGGTGGTGCACACCTTCAATCAAGAGGCAAAGGGAAGTTTGAAGCCAGTCTGGTCCACATCTGACCATCCAAGGCTGCATAATGAGGCCCTGTCTCAAAAACAGCCAATAGTTTCTAACTTGCTAGAAGACTCCTAGCAAGACTAAATTAAGCTGATAAATACAGAATTTATAAACTTTAAATTTAATATAATGCTTACCTTTGAATTCCTTCAAGAATATCCTTCACAGCTGCCATCAACTTTTGAAGATATATAAATGCTTCTTCAAATGATGCTATTTTTGAAGTGGTCAGAGTTGAACTTGAGTCTAGTGTCTGAAACACATCTGTGCTAAAATATGGAAAGAAAAGATGTGCTCACTTAGTACTTACAGGTATTTTCATTGATGATATACACAAGTAATGTGTCTGTTTAAGTAAGGAATCAAAGACGGTGATATGAGACAAGTCTGGTTTAATATCCACACAAGGTCTAGGTCACACACTATACAGGTCTAATTTAAAGAAATTAACATAAAAGCTGGGTGAATATACATTTCACTCTAAAAGACCACAGAGATGGAGGGTAAATAATGCTATTAATATACATTCCAGTCAGTACTCAAGACCATAAACATTAAGAATTAGGTATCAGATTAAATAGAAACTGAATGTTTATCCTTGTAATTCCACTTTCAGAAATTTATTGTGAATTAAAAATTACAACAGATAATGAAACCTTTAATGTCTTTTAATAAAATACTAAAATATTTTTAAATGTTTATGCCAAAACTAAAAATAAGACTAGGTATTGTGGTGTATACCTTTAATCCTAGCAGTTAGAAGGCAGAAGCAGGCAGATCTCTCTGAGTTCAAAGCCAGCCTGGTCTACATAGTGAGTTCCAGAGACCAGCTAGGGCTACATAGTGAGACCCTGTCTCTAAATATATAAACAAATACTTACAGGTAACAGTAACTATATTAAAAATCAAAACACATTGTATTATATCTGAATGGTGTCCTACCCAAATTGATGTTCAACTAGAGCAGTGATTCTCAACCTGTGAGTCATGATCCCTTTGGGGTTGAATGACCCTTTGACAAGGGTCACCTAAGACCATCAGAAATAGCAAATATTTATATTATAATTCATAACAGTAGCTAAATTACAGTTATGAAGTAGCAACAAAAATAATTTTATGGTTCGGGGTCACCACAACATGAGAAACTGTATTAAAGGGTTGCAGCATTAGGAAGGTTGAAAACCACTGTGCTAGGGCTTAAGTATGGACCTCATTTGAAATAGGGCTTTGGCAAATGCAAATGGTTCAGCTAAATGAGGATTGGATTAGAGTAGGCCACACCCTCTCCATGAAGGCAAAAGCAGAGATGAGAGAGATGCACTTACTAGGCAAGGATTGAGGAAGACAGAAGGACACAGAGAAGATTCCCACTTAGAACTCCCTCGAGTCTTTTGCTTTTCCACTTATGGGCCTTCATAACTGTTATTAAATAAATTTATGCTACTTTAAGATATATAGTTTATGATTCATTATGGTACCTCTGGGGAATAATACATATGCCTAGAAGCAAAGTTGGACCTACAAATATTAACATTAACTACAATACCCTTTTAGATAGCAGCATTAAAGAAACACATAAAGTTGTGTGTTTGAGCCAGCTCCAACAAGTCAGCTATGGTACCTGAACTAGGACTAAGAAATAAAGAAGACAGAAAGAGTCGGTAGGACTGCCCAGTCAATGCTGAGCAGCCCCGAGTATATTTCAGACCCTGCTTATATACAGACTAAAAGCAAAGAGCAGAACAAAGAGCAGCAGCACAGTCAGCTAACCACCTCCCTGCACTGTCCTTGAATCAAGAAGCAGGCAGGCTCGATATCTATCATGTGAGTCCTGCTAGCAGCAAGCAGCTTTATTCTCTATGTGCCTTCAGCTGGCATTCAACAGCTTATATGTCTTAGTTAGATAATATGTTCTTTCCCACGGGCTTAATCAAAACATTCTCACATCTCTCAAAGAGACTAAAGCAAGTTTAAACTCAAATGACCCCAAATAGACTTCAGATGAAAACTGAGTCACTTGTGGCTCCCACAGCTGAGTATCATGGCACACACTTGTGATCTCAGCAGTAGGGAGGCAGAGGTAGGAGGACCTCTGTGAGTTTGAGGTCAGTCTGATCTACAAACACAGAGGACTCTAGGACAGTCAGAGAGTACACAGAGAGACCCTACCTAAAAAAAAACCAAAAAAACAAAAACAAAAACAAAACCCAGAGTGTGTTAAAATAACCCAAAATTCAAGTCATGGAATTTCAGAGTCTGTAGACCTTAAAGATCAGATGATCCTATTCTGCTTCAAGATGAACAAACTGAGTTTCAGAAAGACTAGATGGTTTTCCCAAAGCCATTGTCTTTATTGTTCCATAGGAACAGTGGTACAATTCTTAAGCAGCAAAACACTACACTGAGATGGTAGCCCATGTCTTTAATCCCAGTAATCAGAAGGCAGAGACAAGTGGATCTTCCAGACCAGCCAGGGATACTTAGTGAAACCGTGCCTCAAAAAAGAAAGAAGAAAACAAAAATAGCAAAATATATTTAAGTAATTTTTACACAAAGTAGAACATGAAAATATAGACTAAGTAAATATTATTAATATAACTCCTTATAAAGTCACCCTAAATGAGGCAGTTCCAAATAGAAACATTTCAAACCAGAGCTCCATAAAAGCTGCAATCTACTTTCAGACTCATCAGGTTCAGCATTATGAAATAAGCTATTCAACTGGTTAAGAAGTCAGGTTATAGAAAATTATGAACTGTCAAAAGCAGTTTCTTTATTGGTTTTGCCTGCATAGTATTAATAAAATTCTGAGTCACTGAGAAGAAAAAAAAGAAATCGTAATTACAAAGCTTTCTGTAAACTAAAAAATACATTTAAACAAGTGCTGCAGAAACCTGAGTGATAAATTGAAGGAAACTTCTTTTGTTTTCCAGACAGGATCCCATGTAGCCCAGGCTGGTCTTCAAGTTATAACCATTCTGTCTCACCATCCTGAACCTTATGATTACAAGCCTGTGTCACCATGCCCAAATAAAGATTATTGTTTGACCTGAATCAGCAGTCCAAAGCACTAATCCAATTTCCTCATAAACAGACAACAAAAACCTGACCTGATATGATATCAGTTCCAAACTGATTAGTAAGCCACAAAAATTATGGCATTTACAGTTATGCCTAAGAACTTGTCTGTTAATTTTCCCATTGTTGTAATACTCTGACAAAAATTAAGGGAAAGGTTTACTTTAGTTCATAATTCAAGGTCAGTTCATGGTGTGGGTATAGAGTCACAGGAGCTTGAGGCAACTAAGCACATTGCATCCACTGTAAAGTTGTTCAGACATCCAGGGCCCAGCCAGGGAATGGTGCTGCCCACAGTTGGTGGGTCTTTCCACCTCAATTAAACAAGATAATCTTCAACAGGACTGTTCCCCACCCCACCACATGTTTCTAGATTGTCAAGTTGACAACACTAACCATAAGTAACTTATGTGAGTTACTAAGAACAGACTTACCAGACTTCCAAATGAGCACTTTTAAGTGAAAGAATTACATTCAATAAGTTCTATTGCAATTCTGGTATACAACTAGGCTTGTTAAAACAAAACAAAACAAAAAACTCAGCTAAATAAATATGTATTGTTAAGGCAATATAAACACTGTCACTTACTAAAAATATAAAAAATAAAATATACAGTTTATTATTCAGAAATAGCATGAAGCTCTCTAACATGCAATACAAATGTATGAATATTATAAACTCCTTTGTTTCCAAATAAGTTAGTTTTATTTTTAAAGCAGCCATTTCTGCTTCCTATTACATGGTAATTTTTCTTTAAACCAGAATAATATGATTAGCCAAAACACCAAAGATATACTGACTAGAAAAACAAACTGATTCATAAGAAAATTATGAACTTGTAATATAATCTTTAGTTCACATGCTAGATGCAGTTATCTTTTTAGTATGACAAGTTAGAAAGCCAAATAGCAGGACACAAATTTGTTGAAAAATGTTTTAGTCAAGGATTGCCAGGAGGTAGTGACACAATGCCTTTAATCCCAGCACTTGGGAGGCAGAGGCAGCGGATCTCTGTGAGTTCGAGGCCAGCCTGGTCTACAGAGAGAGTTCCAGGGCAGTCAGAGCTGTTACACAGAGAAATCTTTCTCAAAACGCCAAAAAGGTAAAATTGTGGTTTTAAGTTATATAAGCTATTCTAACAGTACCTATTTGAAAAACTACTCAAGGAGAATGTAGCCCAGATTCAAAACACCTGTCTAAAACACAAGCAGTCCCAAATACTGGGTAAAAGGGGAGGGGAACAACAAAATGGCTAAACAGGTAAAAATGCTTGCTGTTAAGCCTGATGACCTGAGCTTGATTCCTGGAACGACATGGCTGAGGGAAAGAACCATTTCTGTAATATGTCCTCTGGCCTCCACACTATGACACTCCCATGCCCACATACACATAAATATAAAATAAAAATTACCCAGGAATGATCTCTGTATCCCTTCATTTCATTAATTCTAAAGTGTTTTATGTTTATATACTAAAGTAATAGCATTTTCCTTTAAAAAATAATACTCATCCAACTTTAAAATTCTCAATGAATTTTCTTTAATTCAAGGAACTTTTTTTATTTTTTTCTCTTTCATTTGATTTAATTTTTCCATTAATCACCTTTTCAAATACATCTAAAAAAACCAAAGAATAGTATGACATTCGATGATGTTATGAACCTTCCCCTAAAATCATCAATACTGCCTTTTGTGTTCAATCAATCCACATGCACCATTACTTCATATGACACTATAGACACAGGCTTTAAAATAACATAATCACATATTATTATCATACCTGGTAACATTCTTATTTTAAACATACTGGCCTTCTATGTTTTAATTCCTTGATCTTATTCAAATAGCATATTTATTCAAGTTAGCACCTCCAAAAGTTCCTAATTAACTTTGATTTACATATCTTGTATTCTTTTATTACTTTTCTTTTTTCTCAATATATGTTTTATTTAAATTAGAAACGTGAATGTTTCACATGTCAGTCCCAGCTCCCTCTCCCACCCCTCATCCCTTGTCCCTCCACCAATCCCCCAGCGCCCCACCCAATCCCCACATCATTCCCCAGGGAGGGTGATGCCCTCCTTTGGGGGGATCTCTAAAGTCTGTCATTTCATCCTGGGCAGGACCTAGGCCCTTCCCCATGTGTCCAGGCTGAGAGAGCATCCCTCTATTTGGAATGGGCTCCCAAATATCATTCATAAACCATAATCCAAGGAACTTTTAACTTATTTCCACTTTAAATACAGATTTGCAACCTTTATGATGATGAATCAATTTAAGTGATTCAGTGGTTGACCTATGCAAGCAATGCTCCTCATCTTGATTATACCAGAATTGCCTAGACAGAATTTTTTAATGCATTCTCAGATTTGTCCTACTGAATTCAAATTTCTAGGAATAGTGTTTAGATATAGAAACCTAATTTTCCAAGTAATTCTGATGGTTATCCCTATTTAAGCATAGACATTTCTAATGTGTCAACTTGATAAAAGCCCATAGCACAATAAATTCATAGCCCAAATGGTAATAATGTAAGCCCAATGAAAAGCAAACTTGTAATGATAAAGTTGAAAATGTCTTGAGAACTTAGTACCTGTTCTGATATATTGAAGTCCAAACATTCTCCAGGATAGACCAGATTTCCTGATGCCTGGTGAACTGGGGAGGATGAGAATCCAAGGAAACAGTGACTTCTTGATTATGATGCTTCATCAAAGAAGTGTCTTCCTGCTTTTCACTCACTGTGCTTTCTGAAGAATTTGGCTTTAATTTTGTCCTGACCTATAACATAAGAATTACATAAAATGCATTTTAGTCCTTTGCTAGCGACTGAGAAAACAAGAGATCTTAGGTTACTAGATATACAGGCTATTGTTTTTCTTCCATATGTAGAGAGTATTCCTATAATAGCATTAGACTTAGAAAAGATGTTTTTCTTCCCTGTTTAGATCAAATATGTTCAATTTATTTACTATAGTGATCTTTCTTACTAACATTCGAATGTCAATTAAGAATACTGTTTAATTATTTATAAAATATTTTTGTGGGTTCAAAAAGTTTCGTGGGGCACATTTGACCAAAACTGCAGATAAATCTCTGTGTTGTGTGACATGTGAGAACATGTGTATTTGGAGAATGAAACTGTTTTCTGTAGTTTTAAAAGTATTCCAGGGCTGGAGAGATGACTCAGAGATTAAGAGCACTGACTGCTCTTCTAGAGGTCCTGAGTTCAATTCCCAGCAACCACATGGTGGCTCACAACCATCCGTAATGAGATCTAGTGCCCTCTTCTGATGTGTAGACGTACATGGAGGCAGGATGTTGTATTCATAATAAATAAATAAATCTTTAAAAAATAAAATAAAATTATTCTAATAAAATAGTCAATGTCTTTGTATGTTTTAAAAAAAAGAATACTGTTTAATATATTGTTATGGAGAGGCAAAGGGCAGACTAGGATGATTAAATAGGGGATAAAAGGGTAAAGAAGAAAATCTGGGGAGGGCCATTTGAAAAACCATATGGAAACCTACTGTAGAAGCTTCTTAAAATATATACACATATGAAAGGAATCTAAATGGAGTCACTAAATAATAGGAGACAAAAATACCTCAACTAGACATCTTATGCCACAAACCAAAGCCTCCAGTGCCAGGATGGACTACATCTTGTTGAACTGTTGGTCAAAGGAGCCCCATGGAAATCCCCAAACATCATAGATTACTGCCAAGGCTATTGATTACCCTCTGCAATTTGATGGTAAGGTAAGGTTCTATTGCTGAAGACAACACTTATGGATATCATGTAACATAAAGAAGTTGAGCTGGTGCCTAACTAGAGTCTTCACTAGAACTGTCTAGTGTTCATGGTACTGAAAGGTACACTGCACTCTATCAGAGAAGAAAGGTAATCATCAATATTTTCCAGCAAAAAAAAAAAATCCTGTGACCTACAAGAGCAACCAGCCTGCAAAATTTAGTGGTGCAATAGTTGTTCTTTTTTTGTTGCAGCTGTGGCACAGGCGATGAAACATGAAAGACCAAACTTCAACAAACCCACATGGAATTTATTGGGAAAGGCAGTGAAGGGGGCGGGTAGGTGTTTGCCAACTGGAAACTGTTGGGGAAATCCTGTGTATATGTCAATAAAGCACTGTTGGCCAATAGGGAACCAAGATAGGTGGGACTAGGAGTCCAGGAGGACTCTGGGAAGGAGAAACACAGAGAGTCAAGATGTAACGCCATGGGGTAGGAAGCCCGGAACTATTCTCAGGTAAGAGAAATACTTAGATTAACAATTATGCGGTAATTACTTAAGTCAGAGCTAGCCAGTAAGAAACAAGCAAGGCCAACAGCTTCATAATTAATATAGCCTCCTGTGTGTTTATTTGGGACTGATGCGGCTCTAGAACCAGGCTGGCGGGAAGGCTTCTCTCAAGGAAAAGGTTTCCCTTTACATAATGGTGATCAGGAGTGGGATCATAAATTTCCACGCAGAACGACGAAAGCTTTAAAGGAATTTTAGAAACAAAAGAACAGAGAAAAGCATGGGATTTTGGTAGCAGCATTTTTCTCAGGTGGGCTCTGTTTTGCTATCGACAAGCAGACACTCGCAGCTTACTCAGCATTAAAAAAAAAAAACAAGGTTCTTTTAAGAGGCTCTGCTAACGATTGAAAGGTGTGTACGTACAGCTGGAAGTGGCAGTGACCACATCTCCAAGCCAACAGCTTTTGCTGGATGTCGGCATAGACTGATCCAGTAAGCTGGAATCACACTTACGCCCGCCATCTTGGAAAAACGGCAGTTTAAATAACCGCAGTTTTAACAGTTAAGACACATGGCCAGAAAAACATAAAGACTTACAGTAAAGTCAGACTTGGATGAAGAAAAACCTCTAAAGGTTTCCAGTGTGTTTAAAAATATATGTAAGATTGAGAGGAAAAAAAAAAAAAAACGGCATAGTGGTAAATAAACAGAGAAGCCGACTGTGGTGGCACACACCCGTAGGATTTGCTGCAGAGGCAGAGGCAGGCGGATTTCCAAAGAGAAACCCTGTCTCAGAAAAATAAATAAAAAAATAAAAGTAAAAGAAATAAAGTCATAATAAATAAATAAATAAATAAGCCACGTAAAGATGGAAAATACACAGAGAGTCTGGATACTGTATGCTATTGTGTTTTTCAGTTTTTTAATTGCTCAGGAAGGAACAACTGCTAAAGTACACTTGATTATAAATGCTGCTAAATTAATTCAACTTATATCTTTTGAAAATGCCTTGACTTCAAAATTTAAGTATAAGGATATGTTACTTGGGAAAGGAGTTTTTGTTTATGTTTTGTTTATCCTGGAGGATTCCTTCCAGGCTTCTGTGGTTTGATGAACCAAGAACCCCGGAAGCAGTGGGCCAGGCGTTTCAACAATTGAGACAGCTAAGATGATGGAGCTTTACAGACCACGAAAATAAGGACTTATACAGGTTTCTGAGTTTTGTCATGATCCCCATGGTATGAACAGCGCCCCCTTCCAGCACGAAGCAGTTTGAAATGAGCGACGTCCTAATACCCATCTTGTTTATAAATCTTTGTTTTCATTTGAATGGGGTTGTTTATAATTGGTTAATGATCACAACCAATCTCTTCTTAAGGAAAAAGGGGATTATGGTATGGAAATGAGTACTTTGTATTGGTATGGTTTTTCATTTATTGAGACAAATTCAAGGTCAATTTTGTGATGTGTATATTTCTCCTCTTGATTAAGTATTGTGCTTATACTGATCTTTTAAAACATAATGCATAATTAAATATAGACTATAGATAGTTACTTATAATAGTCAGAATTTATAGTTAGGTAAGTTAGGTTTTCTAGATATATAGAGATGTATTTGAGACAGATAGATAGTCTTCAAACCTTTCAAAGACCTTCAGAAAATGGCATTTAAAATGGTTTAGGGTTTTTCCTGACAATGAGAAATGTCTGCTCCTGGCAGTACCAATTACGTCTGAGAGGAAGATGGGCATCGAAGAAACTCGTTATGGAGTTTGCTTTCAACATGGCAAGATAAGCCATTTGGGCAAGAAACTGCTCTTGCCTGGACTGCTTGACTGTTGCTGTATAAACTGGACATGCAGGACCCACAAGAAAGTGACTACTAAACTCAGACAGTCCTTCAGGGTTCCTGATTCATGGAAGAGTCTACGAGACTTTCTGCAGGACACAGAAAATTGACTGACAGACTGCTGATGCAGATGGACAGTTTAAAATTTCCTGCTTTTCTGGGAAATCTTCTGGACACATTGTGGCCTATGGGCTGAAGATGGATGCCCCAACGTTACAGAGAAACTTCGGGTGACTATATATTATCCTTCTGTGGTGTTTGATGGAGTTGAAGACAGATAGTTATAATTATTGTTTTCCTTAGTTATGATAAAAGATAAGCTACATATAGAACTTTGGACTCACAAGAATGGGAAACCTTTACAGGAAACAGAGATGGAAGAGAGAAGGGAAGAGAAAAGAGGTAAATAGACACAGAGACAGAGAAAGGACAGGAGAGAAGAGAAAGACAGGAAAAGTCTGATCTGACCCAGGGGAACAGCAGGAGAGGAGAATGGGAAAGAGAGAGTGCAAAGAGAGGAGTGGGAGAGAGAGAACAGAAAGAGATGAGCAGGCAAAAAGAGTAAGAAGGAGTCTTTCTCTTAAAGGGTTCCTTTGCAACTCCACAGAACCCTGAGCCGACCAGGACGCTGCCTGAGTGCATTCTGCTAGGTGACAGCATAATGCCTGAATTCTTACAATAGTAACACAAATGTTATGGGAATAACCAGCTACTTTCTGATTGAATTTAAGGTCACTCCATAAGATACTAAAGTGGTCAAGAACCTGAGGCCATATAGATTATGGGCCTATGGAAAACCTAATACTATTATTCTGCAATAGGAGCAGAGCAATAAAGTGATGCCTAATGGCATAGTGCTATACCCACAGTTCAGTGTCTTGCTCAACGCTCATCAGAGAAGCTTCTTCTTGCAGTAGATGGGAACTAACAAAGAGACCCACAACTGGACAATGTGCAAAGACTGAGACTTTGGAACACTCAGTCCTAATTGGATTGTCTTAATCAAAGTCCTCCCCAACAAGACTCAGGGATCTATGTAGAAGAGGAGATAGAAAAACTTTAAGAGCCAGAGGTGATAGACGACTCCAAGGAAACAATGTCTTCCAGACACAACAGGACAGAAGCACATATGAATTTGGAGATTATGGAAACACACAGAAGGTCTGTATAGGTTCAAGCCAGATGGGGTCCCAGCACTGAGAGAGTCAAGTGGACACAGGCTCTCATGCCTGACCCAAAAGTTCTTTGCAATTGGTACCTGCTTGCAAAGGCAAAATCAGTTTTTTCCAACACTCCCACTGGGTATATTATCCATACTTTAAGGCTGACCCTAATGCCCAAAACAAAAAAATACTGTATTTCCCTAGCGTTAAGTTTCCACGTTAATAAAAGGATGATTTCAAAAGTTACCTTAATGTCTTACTATTTTTATACTTTAAATTGTTTCAAATAAAATTTCTAATACTAGTAACTTTTACTATTTATGCAAACATGCTATACAGGCACTTTCTAGGGGTTTTATATTGGTCACTCAATCTTCATGACTCCATAGTACTATGACACAGAACTGAAACCCTACGAAACAGAAACAATTCTGATTTTTAAGTGGAGGAAACTGAGAAATACAAAGATTAAAAAAACACATGTAAAATAACTCAAATGGTAAGAAGCTGAAGAGATTTGACTCTTAACAATCTAGAAAGGAGGTTATGCTCCCACACCAAGTGCACAGGTATTATCATTGTCTATTTTGGGGGGCAGAAAACAAAAAGAGATGATCTTCTCATTTTATCTGTTTGTATTAAATTACAAACTTAGTAACTATAAATAATAGGCCTATATATGTTTTTTCCTGAAATTAACTTTTGTGGCAATACTGGGATTGCTCAGGACTTTATCCATTTCAAGCAAGTTCTCTCACTGACCTACACCTCAAGCCCAGAGAATTGTTTTAATTACCATAAATATTTAATATTGAGCATTTACATATTTCTCTTTTGCTCTGGCTCTTAAAACATGCAGATTTTTTGTTTTGTTTTGTTTTTTTTTCGAGACAGGGTTTCTCTGTAGCTTTGGAGCATGTCCTGGAACTCACTCTGCAGACCAGGCTCGCCTCTGTCTCCTGAGTGCTGAGATAAAAGGTGTATGCCACTACCGCCACTACCGCCCATATATAGAAAATAAACATTTATACAGTAATTCAGTTCATTCTTGTGGCAATTCTAAGTCAAGAATTATTATTGTACTCAATTTACAAAAAAAAGGAGGAGGGAGTAAAGGCTCAAAGAATGTAAAGAATTAGAGGTAAAAAAAAATGAAGCAACAATAAAAAATGCACAGGTTGGGATCCTGAGCATGTAAAATCTAACACTAATCAACAAAACTAATTTGAATTATTCTAGTATAGTGGTTGATCAAAATTTGGGGGGGGGGGAAATCTTGGGGGTCTGGAAAGCTAACAAAACTAGGATGTCTTATTACTTTCCTACTTCCACCCTTCTTACATAAACAGCAGAAAATGGTGTTAGTTAACTGTTTCATCCTAGTTTCTCAGCTTTTCAGAAGCAAGCAGATGATAAATATTCTTTTCTTGAGTTTTTATACTTGATAATTAAGATTAGGTATGCTTTTCAAGTTATTGTAGTAAAAACCTTATTTTGTTTCACTTAAAAACATTAATATTTAAGAAATTATCCAATCTAATGAATTATGCAAACAATTCTCAGTAAAATATATTTAGGGTTCAGGATGTATCTTAGTTGATAGAGTGCTTTGCCTAGCATGCACGACAGTCTGGATTAGATCCCCAGCACTGCATAAACAGAACATTAAGGTACCCATCTATAATCCCAGTACTCAGGAGATAAAGGCAAAAGGATCAAGAATTTAAGGTTATCCTTGACTACATAGTAAATCTGAGGCTAGCCTTGGGGTGGAGGGAGGCTGCATGAGACCCTGTCTCAAAAAAATTTCCAAAAATTACTTTGTTATTTTTTCAATTATTTATTTTATGTGTTTGACTGTTTTGTCTGCATGCATGGTTGTGTACCATGTGCATGCCTGGTGCCTGAGGACAGAAGATAGTGTTAGAATCTCTGAAACTGGAGTTAAGAATAGTTGTAAGCCACCATGCAAATGCAGAGAACTGAACCTGGGTCTTCTCCAAGAGCAACAAGGACTCTTAACTGCTGAGCCATCTCTCCATGCCCTCTTTTTTGTATGCACAGCTTTCTCTTATCCATCAAGGAAATAATATAAAATTCTACAACAAAAAGAAATAAAACCTCAAGGTCATAGTGGCGTATACCCATAATCTCAATACTACAAAGTACCAAGAGGCTAGGCATTTGAGGTTAGGTAAACTACATAGACAAGTTCTATCTCAAAAAACAAACACAACTAGCCAGGCATTGGTGACACACGCTTTAATTCAAGCACTCAGGAGACAGAGACAGGCGGATTTCTGTGAGTTCGAGGCCAACCTGTTCTACAGAGAGAGAGTGCCAGGATAGGCTCTAAAGCTACACAGAGAAACCCTGTCTCACCCCCCCCAAAACCCAAAAAACAAAACAAACACAACTATTGTGATACTACTTCCATAGAAAGTATGTGTTTCGTAAACTGTAATAAGTCTTGCCTATACTTCAATATACTTGATATTTACCCAATGCCTTTAGAAAGCTAGAATAAGTCAGGGTAATATATCCTTTATTGTTGTCTACTAAATTCACATTTGAAATGTATGTGATCAGCTACTCTAAGTAGCACTCCATAGGTATCTTACCTCTGCAAGTACTTGAAGTAGTCTGTTTACTTGAGCAAAGGTCTGTGGAAGAATACCATCATAATTTGACCTTGTACTGAAGGCATGTAACAAACTTTTAGAATCCTGAAGCAGGAATTTTACTGTTTTAAAATCCACTGCATTATTAGCTGGTAAGAGAAAAATAAGAAAAAATATGAAAGAATAAGCATAAACATAACAATTCCTTAAAACACTAATTAAGTATTCATTTTGTAATTTAAAGAAAGTAGACATTTATATACACATGTTACAACTAATGTCTCTCTGGTATAGAAAGTAACAAATGAACACATTTATTCATAGACAAAGTATTCATGCTGACTTGGTATTCAGTTTTCAATTTTAGGAATTTTTTGAATATAGTCAACTTCAAAGGAAAGCTGAGATATTACATTCTTCAGTAAAAGAAATTAATCACTAGACAAAAAGTCCAAGCACAGTGTTTTCAAAGCTGAAGATATTTCACATCCAGATGACTATTATAAAGGAGGAGTTACATGTTAGAGGCATGTAAGTCAGATGTGACTCCTGTCATGATCACACAGCTATCATGTAATAATTTACCTGAAATTCTATCACGTGAAAAGTAAAACAAGATTTATTGAAAATAATGTGTTATCCCTTTATATACAAAAGTTCAGTTAATAAGAAAATAAAGACTTTGGAGAAAAATAAGAAACAAAAGCTAGAATTTTCCTTCTGTAAATTACATTAATGACTTTATCTCAAGAGGCTAAAAATATTCCTACTAAATTCCCAAGTTATTGGTGACAATCATTTCAAAGGTTTAAAAAGTTAGAAAGAAGCCAGACATAGTGGTACATGCCTGTAATTCCAGTACTCAAGAGGAAGAAGCAGGGAAACCGCTACAAGTTCAAAGCCAGTCTTGTCTATATAGTGAGGGATTATCTCAAACAACAAAAAAAATTTTTTTGAAAATGAAATAAAGTAAATTTCTAATGTTACTAAACAAATGAGAGAAAGGACAAATCTAAAGTGTTAAGTGTTCTTCCAAAGGCAGAATCATCACACTGCAATGTTTGCTTTGTTTCTGTGTGTCTACAAGCTCATGCACAAGGAGGCAGAGTTCAACCTCAGGCATTCCTCTAACAGGTACTTTTAAATAAGGTCCCTCACAGGCCTAGGGCTTGCCTAATTCGGTTAGGCGAGGGGGGCCAGCAAGCCCCAGAAATGCCATGGCTTTCACATCCCTATCCCTGTATACAAATACACAATTCTGCACCTGGCTCTTTCATCTTTCACATGGGTTCTGGAACTGGGACTCAGATCCTTATGAGTATGTGGAAGCACTTTACTGACTGAGCTATACCCTCACTTACAGAAACTATTATATTTAGATTTGAGAGTGGCTTTCCATTGGCAAAATGACCTAAAAATGAGTAAGGCATCCCTATGTATCACTTACACAAGAACTTGTTTATCAAATTCTGAAGGTTCAAATGAAACTTTAAAAATACATTTTAAGGGCTGGAGAGATGGTTCAGTGGTAAAGAGCACTGACCGCTCTTTGGGGTTCAATACCCAGCATTGTATTGTATCTATTCATTCAGTTGCCACAAACTTCCTTCAGAAGTATAAATCATTGAGAACTAATTAAGAGAATTTTATTAACTTATCTCCAAATCCTATGGATGATGCATTCTGATTTAACTTGTGTTCATGTGTATTTGTGTGTGCACCATGTGGAGATACATATTCATGTGTGCTTTGGTTGTTTAAACACAATGCTAGAGGCCAACGTTAGGTGTCTTCCTCACTTTCTACATTATTTTTTTGAGACAGGGTCCCAAAACCCTGAACTTGGAGCTTCCAATTTAGCTAGACTGGCTGATCAACAAGCCCTAGGGACCCTCCTGGCTCCACCTGCTTGGTATGGGATTAAAGGCACAAAATAACATGCAGGTTTTTTGTTTTGTTTTGTTTTTTTAACACAAGTGCTGGACTGAATTCAAGTCCCCATTCTTGTTTTGCAAGCATTTTACTGACTTAACATCTCCCCAGCCCTTTTAATGTTTGCAAGCATGAAAGGAAGGGGGGATGATGAGAGGTGGGGAGAATCAGAAAGAGACAGAGTTGCATACATGTATACATATGCATGTTGTTGAGGTGCCTATGCATGCATGAATAAGAGGCTGAAAGTTGACATCCTGAAGTATTCCTTGATTGTTTCCCCACCTTATTTTTTCAGTGTAATATCAATCCTGGAGCTCTAGCTGAACTAACTAGTCAGCAAGCCCCTGAACTCACCTGTCTCCATCTCCCAAACCCTGGGATTAGAGCACACCACCACACCCAGCTTTTACTCAGCTCTGGGGATCTGAACAGAAGTCATTATGCTTATGCAGCAAGTACTTTACCTACTGTCTTAGTTACAGTTTCTATTGCTGTAAAGAGACACCACAACCACAGCAACTTTTTTTTTAGATATTTTTTTATTTTTAAATTTAAATTAGAAACAAGGTTGCTTCACATGTCAATTCCAGTCCCCTCTCCATCCCTTCCCTCCTCCTGTGCCCTCCCACCAACCCCCCCCCAATATCCCCTCATTTCCCCAGGGAGGGTGAGGCCCTCCATGGGGGTGTCCATAGTCACAGCAACTCTTATAAAAGAAAACATTTAATTGAGGTGGCAACTTATAGTTCAGAGGTTCAGTTCATTATCATCATGGCACAACATGGTGGCATGCAGACAGACATGGAGCTGGAGAGGTAGCTGAGAGTTCTATATCTTGCATAGGCAACAAGAAGTGATCTAAGACATTGGGTGTGGCTTAAGCACATATGAGACCTCAAAGTGCCTCCACAGTGACACACTTCCTCCAACAAGGCCATACCTCTCAATAGTGCCACTCCATTTGGGGGCCATTTTTTTCAAACCAACACACCTACTGAGCCATCTCTTCAACCCATTTTGGTTGATTTATTTATTTGTTTTTTGTTTGTTTAGTTTGTCTGCTTTTAGATAGGGCCCCATGTAGTTTTGGCTGGTTTTGCATTCACTATGAAACAGTTTACCATAACCTTCTGATCTTCCTGCCTCCACCTACCAAGTATTAGGATTACAAGCATGTACCACCACACCAGATTGACTTAATACTTTAACAAACTATTGTGAAAGAAAGATTCATACCTTTAGAGAGATTTTCAGATAGGCTCTCAATAATTAAAAGCAACTTATTTTCCATAACTAATCCGAATACAGCCAACCAATGTTTTTTAAAGCACTGCAATAGATTTATTAGAGTCCATGGTGGTTTCAAGTACAGCACCTAGAAAGAATTACAAAATTATCAACTACTGATTTATCTTACCTATTATTTAAGCACACCTACGTAGAAATTTCTATACATAACCCTAATTTCTATACATAACCCTAATGAAAATACAGCTAGTCAAACTATTTTTAAACTAAGAGGTACTAATCACAATTTTAAAGTGGTAGGTCTATTAGAGATTGATTTATGAAATTCATATTAATCCTTAGTTTCATAACTTTTAAGTACATAAAGAAAGCAAATTCTACTAGAGAAGTAGTATAGTTTTAACCAGAAAGTTATCTCAATCTACTTTTTCTTTTTTTTTTAAATACTGCTTTTGATTTATTTTATGTGGGCAAGTGTTTTCTGCATATATGTCTGTATACCACATGTATGTCTGGTCCCCATAGAGGCCAGAAGACAGCATCAGATCCCTGATGCTGGGATTTGAACCTGGCTGGGTCCTTTGCCAAATACAGCAAGTGCTCTTAACCACTGAACCATCACTCCATCCCCTCAATCTTCTTTTCTATATGGTTATTTCCAGAAGTAAAACAATCTAAATATTTCATACTACTCCAGGAAAAATCTATATATTAAAAAAAAATAGCCGGGCCTTGGTGGCTCACACCTTTAATCCTAGCACTTGGCAGGCAGAGGCAGGCGGATCTCTGTGAGTTCGAGGCCAGCCTGGTCTCGAGAGTTCCAGGACAGCCTCCAAAACAACACAGAGAAACCCTGTCTCGAAAAACCAAAAAAAAAAAAAAAAAAAAAAAAAAAAAAAGAATCAAATACAACTTTTCATTTGCTACACTCTTACAAAGACATATTTATAGATATGGTCTCTTAGTTTGGGAAGTATCAATGCCTTTTTCTAAATCATTGATATTTCTATGAAATATCCAATTAATACCAATCCTCCTAAATCTTTTTTTGGAGCAGCATTTTAATATTAAGCACCAAACATATCACATTGGCAAGTCTTAGAATCTTGTTGAACAGCTAAAATAAAGACATAAGCTACAATTAATGGGCTATAAGGTTTCTCCTAGTGACAAACGTGAATTTGAAGCAAGTATTAAACTGAGTTTTACAGTTGGGCAGTGGTGCTACACGCCTTTAATCCCAGCACTTCAGAGGCAGTGACAGGTGGATCTCTGTGTATTTGAGACCAGCCTGATCTACAAAGTGAGTTCCAGGACAGTCAGGACTGTTACACAGAGAAACCCTGTCTCAAAGAACCAAAAACCAAAACAAAACAAAATAAGCTAAGTTTTACAAGTATGCTTGCTAAATTTGGTATTTCATTTAACTGTAGAAAAGACATTAGGCTAAAGAAATTCAAAATATCTTATGACAGATTTTTACTTTCATATTTACATGGCATAAGTCAAATATACAGTTGGGTGTGGTGGTGTACACTTTAAATCCTAGCACTCATGAGGCAGATTGCTGTGGTTCATCTGGTCTAAAGAGCAAAGTTCCAGAACAGCCCAGACTACACGGAGAAATTTTGTCTCAAAACACACACACACACACACACACACACACACACACACACACACACACACACTCAAATACAGACATCTGTCATACATTTTTAACAAATCAAATTAAATGAGCAAAGTATTTACATATTGTTTATTCTGTTTGGAGACAGGGCCTCTTGAATCTCATGCTCACTACATAACCAAAGATAATCTTGAACTACTGATCAAGATATCTACCTTCAAGTGCTAGGATTATAGGCATGTGTCATACTACACATGTGGCATTGGGAATAAAACCTGTGGCCTCAGGTATGCTAGGCAACCATCCTACCAACTTAGCTATATCTCTAATCCTTGTGCAAGAAATTTAAGGATTCAATTTAAGCTCTAGGAGGTAAATATATCAAATATTCATAGTAGATGCACAATAACTTTTAGTTAATGTAAAATACAGAATCTTCCCTTTAAGTACCTCTTTTCTCATTTTTCCTTAATATATCTACTTTTGCTCTGTTCAAAATAAAAAAATATAGTCCTATCTTTAAGAAATGTTCATCATATAATTATCAAAAAGTTATTACAAGGCCTGTAAGATGGTCCAGCAAATTAAGGCACTTGCCACCAAGCCTGACAACTTGGGTTTAATCATGATAGGGAGAACCAATTCCTGACAAGTTATCCTCTGACTTCTACAGGAACACCATGGCAAACACATACCTGCACACATACATACACTTGTGCAAATACATATACAAAACAAATACATAAAATCAATTAAAAAATTTTTAAGATATTATAAAACTAGAGAAAATGTTTTATGGATTACTGTAAACATTTTAATTTACATAAATATCTTCTAAAATAACAAATCATCAATAATAAAAAGAAATCTCAACTAATACAGTTAACAAGGTACCTCCATCCAAAGATTTCCAAAAGCAAATTTCATTTCTGTTTCTAATATTGAAGATAAAGCTGTCCCAAGAGATTTTTCAAGATCACATATAATCCGTTCAAGTAGAATGGATAGTGTAGAATGTGTAGGTTCTTCCTTAGATGGCTCCTCTACTGGTGCTGTTTCTTTAAGACAAAAGTTTAGGCCTTACTTACTTAGTTCACACAGGTCTCAAAGTTACTGTGTAACTGAGGATGACCTTGACCTTTTACCCTCTTGTCTCTACTTCCCAGTGCTGGGATTACAGGCATATATCCCCATGTTAGGTTTATATGGTACTGCTAGGTACTACGCTCATGCATGAAAGTGCTTCACCAGCTGAACTACATCCCTAGTCCTGACTCAGGATTTCTGGCAAAAAACAAAACAACAACAACAAAAACCTTAAATGTTTTTTTACTCAAACAGAAGTATAAAAAAAATGTTATTTTAACTAAATTGAATTTTACTACTTTTTTTGTGAGTGTATGTAGCAAGTGCTTTTATCCATTGAGTCATGTCACTGGCCTCATTTTACATATTTTTATTTATGGCCCATCTCTTAACACTAAGGCATTGTTTTTTTAATTACTAAAAAATCAAAACAAATAAAAAACCAAAAAAAAAAAAAAACTGAAACAAAAAGTACCCCTCCCCCACACACAGAGTCCATTCTGTGCTAGCTAACTACTCCTGGACATTGGGCCTGTCTTGGAGTATGTTATACTCAGTGAGACTCCATTGGAGAAAACTGATTTTTGTCTTTCCCAGCAGGTATCAATCACAAATAGCCCCTTGGTTAGGGGAGGGAATTTGTGCCCACTTCTCCTTCTCAATGCTGATGTTTTTTCCCCCCCTCAGGGGTAGGTTTTGTCGAAATAGGGTTTCTCTGTAATTTTTGGATCCTATCCTGGAACTTTCTCTGTAGACCAAGCTGGCCTTGAACTCAGAGATCTGCCTGCCTCTTCCTCCTGAATGCTGGAATAAAGGTGTGCACCACCACCACCATTCAGCCCTCAATTTTTCAATTACATCAAAATTGGTTTTCTTTCCCCAAAACAGTACACATTTCAACCCATATCAATAAAGTGTTTTAAAATGATGAAAGCTTTTGGCTCATCTATATTTTTGCCATCCTCTTTAGAATAAGGTTTTTAAGTTCAGTTGTTACCATTTCATTAACATTATACTTTTATGTTTAAAAAAATAACTATAAATTTCTCACAGCAAAATTCAAATATTAAGTGACTAATCTCTACAAACACCCACTAAGGATTTAAAATGACAGTTATATAATGGGCAAACTGAAAGTTTACTCCTGAAAAACCACAAACTAAAATATCCTGTAATCCCTCCCAAATGTCATTTTGAAGATCATGACAAAAAAATACTATTTTCAAAAAGGGAATTAAACAGTATTTATGAATGCATTCATATTTATACAATTACCTATAAAAGTATATCTAATGTAAAAAATCAACCACTTGAGAAAAAGTGGTCAGATCCCTGGAACTAGAGTTGTCTGTGGATGCTGGCAATTGAACTCTGATCCTGTCAAAGAGCAGGAAGCGGGGTCCTAAGCCCTGAGGGAAAGTTTCCCACAGAGGGGAAAGTTGGGATACATTTATAAATAATGCCATGCAATTTAACATTCTATCAAATATCAAGTCATGGAATAGTTCATTATAATAAAAAGGCAGTATTGTCTTTATACTAGTTTAATTATTAGTTTAAATTAAAAAAAAAACTACCCCCCTCCAAAAACAAGTCAAGTGGTGGTGGCGCACATCTTTAATCCCAGCACTTGGGAGGCAGAAGCAGGCAGATCTGTGTGAGTTCGAGGCCAGTCTGGTCTACAGAGCCAGTTCCAGTATAGGCTCCAAAGCTACACAGAAAAACCCTGCTTTGAAAAACCAAAAAGGAAAAAAAAATTTAGTTTACTAGAGTTGTATGATATTTGCTTTTTCTAAATTAACAAAGGGTTAGGAATATAAAGCTAATTTTACAAAAATACTAAAAACCTCCACTTCAAAAGAGTATTTCCTACAACTATTAATAATTTAAAAGATATACTTTACAGCTTAGTCGGTGGTAGCACACACCTTTAATCCCAGCACTCAGTTGGCAGAGGCAGGCAGATCAGTGAGTTTCAGACCAGCCTGATCTACAGGAGCTACTTCCAGGACAGCCTCCAAAGCCACAGAGAAACCTTGTCTTGAAACAACCTCCCTCCCCCCCACACACAAAAAAGATATACTTTACAAGGTACAAGTTATCATGTTTACAATGATCATAAGTAGATGAGAAAATGGATAAAAATAAAATTAATTGATAACAGTATATGGACATGGACAGCAATAACAGTAATATTTGCTTTTACATTTTTATAATTTTCATTTAATATATGAGTAAACATTCCAAATGTACTATTATTTTAAATGTACTAGATGAAAATTTATTATTTGTCTCAAATGTTACCAAAAATATTGGTACAAGAGATCTATTTCTAATCATTCTTAGTAAAACTATTACCTGCTTTCAACTGTTGCTTAGAAATACAAGGCTGATGACACATATTTGTATTGAGAGCTAAGGTTATTATTTCTGCATCCAATTCTTCTTTACTGAGTGACTTCACACCACTCATCAGGCCTTTACTTCTTAAATTTCTATCATCCCTAAAGGTGTGATTAAGAAAAAAAATATTTTAAAATTTCAACTATGTCAACTCAAACACACAAGTTATCAATATAAACATTAAAATGGTTAAGAAGTTTAGAAATGAACTTGATAAAAGTGCCCCTGGCCTCTGAGAGTACCTGCACTTATACCCACATACCCACATACCCACACACACACAAAATTAAAAATTAAGCTAAAAAAAGATTAACACTTAGATTATTACGAGATTCTATAAAGTTCTCTTTAAGCACTAGTATAGTCCACAAATTTCAAACGCTGCTTCTCAATTTTCATTCAGTATTTGTACGTGTGTGCTCATGCATGCATGGGTACCCACAGAGGCCAGGAGAAGCTGTCAGATTCCCTGGAAATAAAATTCTAGGTAGTTGTAAGCTGCCCAATGTCGGATTGGAAACCAAACTTAGGTTCTAAGCTTTGTCTTAGGAAACAAGAAAAAAAGGGGGAAAAAGGCATAACGGTCTTTCTGGAATGGTGGAAATGTTTTATATATTGAAAGAAATATGAACTATGGCACTGTGTCAATCTGATAATGCTAATAGTTACTAATATATTTGTGCATTCCAATATAAGTACATTTTTTCTTAAAAACTATGTAAAAATAATCAAGCTTGATAGGAAGTGAATAAAAATACAGACACAGAAAGAATTTCAGGCTCTTAATAACCGTTGCAGCTACATTAGGGTTTCACTCCTCCCTCCCTTCTGGAACTGTAAATTGAGTTTAGGGCCTCATGAATGCTAGAAAGTGCTCTGCTGCTCAACTACATTCCCAGCCCCAGAGTTTGTTTCTTATTCACTTTGAACATTGTTGGGATTCTCCATAATGTAAATCTTTTTCAAAATAAGGAAGTAGCATTTTAATTTTTAGAAGAATTAGGATAGTAAGTGTGGAAGTGATGGTGTTAAAAGTAGAAAAGGGGAAAGTAGCATGTTTTAATGTAGGATCATGGAAAGGAGATAATGAAGAGACCCAACAGAACAGAGTATCAAAGTATGTTCTTTTCATACTGGAGTGTGAAACAGCAGTTGAGTATCTACAGGACTCTGCATAGGGCTTTAGAAATAGTAAGATGTGGCACTTTTCAATCACTTAAAAATAGTTTATATTAGGCAGAGCTCAGGGAAACCTGAATAAGAGAGGCAAGAAGGATTGAGTCAGGGGTCAAAGGCACCACAAGAAAACAGCCCACACAATCAATTAACCAGGGCTCATAGGAGCTCACAGAGACTGAAGCAACAAACAGGGAGACTAGATGGGTCTGGCCTAGGATACATGCTATGGTTGTGTAGCTTGGTATTCTTGTGGGTCTCCTAACAGTGGGAGCAGGAGCTACCTCTCTTTTGCTTGCTTTTGGGATCTTTTTCTTCCTCCTGGTTGTCTCATCCAGCCTTAATATGAGGGAATGTGCCTAGTCTTACTGCAACTTGATATGTCATATTTGGTTGATATTCCTGGGAGGCCTGCCCTTTCCTGAAGGGAAACAGAGAAGTGCATCTGGGGGAGATGAGACGTGAGGGGATGGGGCTGGGAGAAGAGGAAAAGGAACTGAGGTTGGGATGTAATACATGAGAGAAGAATAAAAAAAATATTTAGAAGGAAAAACCAATGATAGATTTCAAATGTCTTCCATATACAAGTAAAACTATCAAATAGGTAGGTGAGTATATTAGTCTGGAGTTTAGAAAAATCGTACGGACTAGAGATATTAACTGATTTCAGATTCCTGATAGTAAATATAAGTGAAACACTTAAAATAATCCATAAAACCGGGCTGTGGTGGCACATGTCTTTAGTCCCAGCACTTGGGAGACAGAGGCAGATGGACCTCTGTGAGTTCAAGGCCAGCCTGGTCTACAGAATAAGTTCCAGGAGAGGCTCCAGATCCCATCTCATGAGGAATCAGCCTTCTCATTTTCTCTTTAAATGAAAATTGTTTTCCAAACCTTCAAAGAAAATAATGCATAGCATATTGTGTTGCATTTTTCCTATTACTACTATTACCAACTGATAGTAACTGTAACATCATCACCACCAAACAGATGCATCCTCACAATAGGTACTAGTAGATAGATGACTTATACAACATATATTATCATTACTTCAAGAAAAATCATGTTGAGTGTAGCAGCACACACCTTTTATTCCCACTACTCAGGGCACAGAGGCAGGTGGATCTTTGTGAGTTTGATGCCAACCTGCTCTACATAAGAGTTTAGGCCAGACAGTGGTGGCTCATACCTTTAATCCTAGCAGGTGAAAAGGCCAGCCTGGTCTACAGAGAGAATTACAGGATAGCCAGGATTACACAGAGAAACCCTGTCTTGAAAAGTCAAAAAGGAAAAGTTCTAGGCCAACCAGGATTACATGGTTAAATGAGCTACATACAGGCCAACATGAGCTACATGATTATCTTGTCTCAATTTGAAAAAAAAAGGACCTGACCACATGCTAGGCACTTCTCTAATTCCTTTACACATACTATCTAACAAATTGTATGAAGCAGGTATTAATTCTTCTGTTCATTATATACAAGGAGGCTAAGTTAGGAAAATGTCCAGATCCATACAGCAGACAACTGACAGACCTAGGATTTTAGCCCAGGAAAATTTACTGCAAAAGAGGTTTCCACAACATAATGTAACATTTGCTAACTCTCCTTGTATATAAATAAGTAACCAACTTCTTGCCTCACATGACTGAAATATTCTTTAAGATTTTGCTATCAACTTTCCCCTTCCTCTCTCAAAAGTGGAAGCAGAGGCAGACACCCACAGCTGGACACTGAGCTGAACTCCTGGAACCCAGTTGCAAAGAGGAATGACAAGCAAAGGAATTAAGACCCGGCTGGTGAAGTCCACAAAGGCAGCTGATCTGAACAAGGGGGAACACGTGGAACCCAGACTGATCCAGACACCCCACCCCCCACCCTGGGTGTCAGAGAGGAGGCCTCAGCAATCTGTGGGACCTCAGATAGTGGATCAGTATTTATCCCTGGCATACAGATGGACTTTGTGAGCTCATTCCACATGGAGGGATGTTCTCTCAGCCTGGACACATGGAGGAGGGCATGGGCCCTGCCCGGGATGATGTGACAGACTTTGAAAATCCCCCCATGGAAGGCTCTGCTCCCTGGGGAACAGAGGAAGTATAGAGTGGGGGCTAGGGGGGGAGGGGAAAAGGGGGGAAGAGGGAGTAACATGTGTAAAAAGTTAAACAATTTAAGAATCAATAAAAAAGTATTCTGAATATTACATAAATTAAACTGAATTAAAAGTTCATCCATTTATTATCTCATTCCTCTGGAATCACGTATCATAAAAAAATAGCTGGGTATGATTAATGGTAGATCCAAAGAAATAGTGTTTGATCCTTGATTCAGGAAACAAAATTTCTAAAAATTCTTTACCATAAGCTCTTATTTAAAAAAAAAAAAAGCACAATGACTATGACACTCACGTGCACAGAATAACAAGAGAACATGGAAATAACTCCTGGTACTGAAGACAGCATTTTAATACTCGATCATCATTGTTCTCATCACTCAATCCATCTGCAAATGTAGCAAAGGTAACTGTCAATAAGTACATTAGAAATCTAGATATTGCTTGAGCATGTTGACTCATGCCTGAAATTCCAGTATTCAAGAGGCTGAGGCAGGAAGATTGTCAGAAATTCAATGTTAGCCTGGGCAATGGGGTAGGAAGAGCTGGGACAATAGCTCAGTCAATAAATAAGTGCCTGTTTCCTCAGAACCATGTTTTCCCATGCACAGATGCACACACTCAAACATGTATATACACACATCAGAAAAATACACCAATACAAAGAAAGAAATCAGGGTATCACCTGAATGATCTGGGTAATATTTACAAATTAAAAATATGTAGGTTTTGAGGGAATAAAGCTACTCTGATACTACCACTGTGGATACATGTCACTATATATTTCTCCAAATATATTGTATGGACGATGCAAACTGGATGACAATGATGTGTCAATGTGGGTTCACTGATTGTAATACATTTTTTTTTCTTTTTTGGTCTTTTGAGACAGGGTCTCTCTGTAGACTCAGCTGTCCTAGAACTCACTATGTAGAGCAAGCTGGTTTAAAACTCACAAAGATCTGCCTATGTCTGCCTCCCAAGTGCTAGGATTAAAGGCATGAGCCATCACGCCTGGCTGTAATATATTTCTTCTTCTGGTGGAACGTACTGATTATAAGAGAATTATTATATATGGGAAGAGGAAGGATATGAAAAATTTCCATAACTACTTCCCAATTTTATTATAAAGCTAAAACATATCTAAGCATCTATTTAAAAAAAATAACTGAAAAGCAGAAAACTCATTAAATAAAATGAAGACAGCAAAACAATGTCTTCAGAATTCTGAATCTAGACTTCACAGTCTGCAAAACTTTCTTGTGTCTGTTTTTCCTTACCCTCTAAAACACTGCATTTAGAGGAGTACAGGAAAGGAAACACGTGCCCTTGGCAGAAAACACGAAGTGAGCCAAGCATGACAGCACAGCACACACAGGCAGAGTACAGGAGGAGGTAGGGAGCGCGAAGTCATCTGTACCTACATGGTGAGCTCAAGATCTGCTTGGACTGAGACCATGACTTGAAAAACAGAAAGGAAAAAGAGAAGAGGGAGGGAGGACAGAGAAGAGGAGAAGGACCGAAGAGGGGATGTAGGATAGAGGAAGAAAAACAAAGAAAGGGAAGAAGGGAAAGGGCTAAAGAAAAGACAGAGGAGGGGAAGAAGGGAAAGGGCTAAAGAAAAGACAGAGGAGGGGAATAAGAGACAAAAGAAGTGAGAGAGAAGAGGAAGAAAAGAAGGAGAGGGAACAATAGAAAGGAAATATAAATCATTATATAAAAAAAAGGAGGGAGAAATCCAAAGTTCTATAGAATGCATAAAAACTATATAATCATTTATCTGTGAAATACTAGAACAGCCTAAGAAAGTACAGGAAAAACAATAAAGCAAAACCAAAGACTCCCAAAATGAGCCACAAATTGTCACAATACCCTTTCCATTTCACATTCTAAGGGCTACTCACTGTCAATTTCTAAACCATTTCCTTCCAATAACACACCAGCACCCAAACAAATCTTTATCATAGCAGACCCAGGAACACCAATACTTACAAAGCTTTTGGGATGCCAACTGTAATGACTGACCCCACAGCTTCCTATCTTGACTTTTGAGGCTGTCGTTGATGAAATGAATAGCAGGTACAGCTTTATGCTGGACATGTTTTAGTAATTTTCCTGCCTTCATTCGATCTAGCTCTTGTACAACCACCCAGGGAATTATTAGCACAAGTGTGTCAAAGCCTAAAAAACACAAAGATTTCTTAGGATCCAACATGTATTGAGCTACTAAATCAATTTCTGTAAAAGTCGAAGCTTTCAAGTACACAGTCTCCAGTCCATGTTGATGGCTTGGTGGGCAAGTACATTTGCTGCCAAGTCTAATGACCCACATGGTGGCAGGAGAAAAAGAGACTCTTAAAAGCTGTCTGCAAGCTATTCTTTAACTACCACACATATCTGGTGGTATATTAAGAATTTAAATATTAAAAACTTCCAGATTACAGAATGAATCTAAAAGACACGAGTCCTATAATCAAGGTTTACAATGTGAACAATTTCACAATAAACAAGCAATTTTAAAATACAGTAAGTACCATCCAAAAGTGTATTTTAGATTTATAGGTTAGGATATCTTTTTGTTTTTTTTTTAAAAACCTTCAGATAATAGAATATGATTGTGAGAAAAAAACAACTGTTATTATAGAATATCAACTCAAAAAAAGAAAATCAAAATCTGTGAATTTTTATATATACCTGGTATTTCTGTTGTCTTCAAAATTTTAACAAATTTGAGATGATTCATCAGAATATTTGTGTCAATAACAATTAAAAGCTTTTTGTCTGTGGCAGTATTTACTAAAGAAGAAGAGCAGAGTTAGGATTTTTACAACACTTGATAATAAATTACAACCAAATTTGGGTATAGTACAAAATAACTCATCTAATTTTAAAACCACTCTGTCTTGTAAGCTTAATGGAACAAGAGAATCAATATACAGGATTCTTAGCCTACTACCGATCTGATTACTCCCCAGTCAAGGGTTCCCTGGGCAGAACCCACACCTTGTTTATGCCAGAGAGTTTGAGCAGAAGAGGGCCAAGGGAGGACTTGTCTAGGTTAAGAGAAGGGAAGGTCTAGTGAATCAGGAATGCAGGAACAAACAGGGTCAAGACTAGAGAAGTGCTTTTAGGAACATTCTTATAGGAAAAAGTCCTTTAAATAAACACTATTAAAACTCCAGTTACTTTAATTCTTAATGGAAAAATACACCCCAGTAAACTATCATAAATTGTTTGTGGGTGTATTTTAATCATAAACTGACCACCCCAATAGTAACTATGGTTCTAAATCCTGCCCTGAATCCCTGGTAGTTATGGACTCAAGAAATATAAATTAAATTTATTATACCCTTATTAAAATATCATTGGAAAACTAAAAGAAATATATAAGAGTAGCAGTGTTACTTCATAGGACTTTTGGGAAGATCTGTAAGTTTCTATCGCAGGTTTAAGCAGGAGGCTTACAGTAGGTGGGTTGGGGTTGGCTAAAAGGTTCTGAGGGCCAATGAATCAGTTCATACACATATCATTCTTCTCATAGCTCTTTATTCTTCCAAAAACCGTCTTCCCAAAAGTTATCTCTCAAAAAGCTCTCTTTAAGATTTGTCCTAAAAAAATTCTCTGCTCAAAATTTCTTTCTCTAAAAGCTCTCTCTTTTTTTTTTTTTTTTTTTTTTGGTTTTTTTTTTTTTTTTTTTGAGGCAGGGTTTCTCTGTGGCTTTGGAGGCTGTCCTGGAACTCGCTTGGTAGTCCAGGCTGGTCTCGAACTCACAGAGATCCGCCTGCCTCTGCCTCCCGAGTGCTGGGATTAAAGGCGTGCGCCACCAACGCCCGGCATCTCTCTTAAAAATTCTCTAAAAGCGCTTTTTAAAAATTGTCAGGCATTTGGTGGTGCATGCCTTTAATCCCAGTACTCGGGAGGCAGAAGCAGGCAGATCTCTGTGAATTCGAGACCAGCCTGTTCCACAAGAGCTACTTCCAGGACAGCCTCCAAAGCCACAAAGAACCCCTGTCTCAAAAAATCAAAGAAAGAAAAAAACTACGCTAAAAATTCCCCAAAGATTCCCTTTAAAAACTGTCTAAAAGTTCCTTTCCCCCCATAAGGCTTCCAGCAATATACCCACAGATACATTTAACAACTCTCTGACAATAGGGTGTGGATATTGTCAGAGCCAGGAAGGCAGATAAAATCTTGACAAAAGCAGGACACCTCATTCTCAGGAGGGACATATAAAGATGTGCTGTTAACTGACTAAAGGGGACTTCTCAACACTATATCAGAGGGAATAAACTAAGGCTTTATCGTGTGAGATCCAGAGGCTGCTGCTTCTAGCCTGCTCTTACTACTGACACCCTGGTGAGAAGGAATTCCTTTCTCTGGAGCCTATTAGAGACTACAAAGTGCCCAGTATATATTCTATATACAGCCAAATTCATAGTAACAAATATTCTGGAGTTGATACCTAGAATATTAATTGCTACTTCTGTAATAAATAAAGGCTCCCAGCAAGTTTCCTACTGAATCATGTAGAAAAATGCTTAGAAATTTGTAAAATATGAGTACTTTAAATATGAATAAGAGATAGTACTATAATTTTTACAGAGAATTCAAAATAGTATACTAATTTAGGTAATCTTATTTATTTTTATTTTGAGAGAAGGAATATATAAGACTAAGTAGAACAGGCTGTCCTGGAACTCTATGTATTCCAAGATAGTATTGCACTCCTAATCCTCCTGTCTCAGCCTCCCAAGTGCTGGGACAAGAGGCATGCACCACCATGTCTGGTATTTTGAATATTTGTTATTATCTGTTCCCAGTAATAAGAATTTTAATATATTAACAAGGAAACCATGAAAATAATATCTTAGAGCAAACTGCCTTCTATCTGATCAGTGCTTTTTATGATTGAAAGAATTAAAAGTTATAATTAAGAACAAGCATAAAAGACAGTGCATAACTTGATAATTCTTGAGAAAATGTCTAATGGCCTAATAGGGTAAGAAATACACAATTATAATTTTAAAATGAGCACATTTAGCACTTTCATCCGTACACTGTAAAAACTAAATGTTAGCGCACCAATTCTTAGAAAAACACATCATAAAACTGAGCATATAGAGTGTACCAGTAGATGAATGCACATCGTCTTCCACCAAGTCAATCTCCATGCTCATTAACTCTCCAGAAGGTGGAAGGACAGGTAAAGGCACACTTTTTCCCACACGTGCAGCATGGAGCTCTTCTACTATCTGCATCTATATTGTAAAAGAACCCAGTGAAATACCTGAGTTACTTACTGAAGATATTTAATAAGAAAGCAATACACCATGAAAATGCCTTACAGAAATAGAGACAGCACTGTAAAACTATAGGATTTATAACCATACGGTTTTAAAATCAGTTCCTTTCTGTAGCCTCAGGTAAGCAAACTGTTTTATTACTTTAGAATCTAACTTGCCCATCAATAAAGAGTATTACATCTTATCTATTTTCTTTAGAATTTTTATATTATTAAAATAAGTCATGTGAAGTTTCTTGCATAAAACCTAGCATACAGACATTGAAGTAAGTTCATTGTCATGTCTAGTCTCATTTCAAGTTACTTTTAAACAGTCAGTTTTCTCTTACCTTAATGAGTGTGAGAGGCTACAGCTGAGTGCTAGAAAGCTTGCCTAGCATGTGTGACCCCCTGGATTCAATCCCTGGCTCTACTAAAACACAAAAATGACTAATCCAATGTCCTTGAAATTTCTAATATTGTTTATCCACTATCAGAAACTAAACTCTAAATCTTTTATTATTAATTGTATTATACTTTAAAACCTTATTTTGCATTGGGGTAACAAAGGAGTGTATGTGCATGAGCACCTTTACCCCCACGGCATCTTGATGGCTCTGAACTATAAATCTGAAGACCCTTTGTACTTTAGCAATAGTGGAGAGACTACATTAATGGCCCCTCCTTGATGATAAGGTTGATGACTACCTTATATGCCATCCTAAAACCTTTATCCAGTGACTGATGTAGGCAGAGACAGATACCCACAGCTAAACATTGAACTGAACTGCTGAACTCCAAGAATGTAGTGTCAGTGAGGAGGCCTGAGAAATCTCTGGGGCCTTAGGTAGTAGATCAGTGTTTACCATGGTGTACAAATGAACTTTGGGAGCCCATTCCACATAGAGGGAGGATGTCTCTCAGCCTGGACACATGGGGAAGGGCCTAGGTCCTGCCCTGGATGAAATGACAGACTCTGGAGATCCGCCCAAGGAGGGCCTCACCCTCCCTGGGAAATGATGTGGGGATTGAGTGGGGTGCTGGTGGAGGGACAAGGGAGGAGGGGTGGGAGAGGGAGCTGGGATTGACATGTGAAGCATTCATGTTTCTAATTTAAATAAAAACATATATTGAGGAGAAAAAAAAAAGAAGTACTTCTAAAAGAAATAATAAATAAAAAAATATGGCTGGGCATGATAGTACATGCATGTGATTACAGCACTCAGAAAGCTGAGGCTGGAAGATCATGAGTTCAGGCTAGCCTACACAGCAAGAATAAGGCCAGCCTAAGTTACACAGTGAAGCTGGGCGGTGGTGGCGCACGCCTTTAATCCCAGCACTCAGGAGGCAGAGGCAGGCGGATCTCTGTGAGTTCTAGGCCAGGCTGGACCGACAGCCTCCAAAACAATACAGAGAAACCCTGTCTCGTAAAAAAACCAAAAAAAAAAAAGTTACACAGTGAAAAACTGTCACAGATTTAAAGTTTAAAGAAAGAAGAAACAAGAATATATTCTATCTTTAAAGCAGTCATGAACAGTCTTCCACCAAGGGGCACTGACTCCTAAGACAGGAAAATAAAAGTAACTATTACAATTAAAGGTCATCTACAATCTTATAAAGAGAAAAATACAAACTGTTGGTGAATTTTAACTTACTCATGTAACATAAAATTATACACGTCAATTTTATGAAGATAAACCATAAGATTCTAGGTAGAAAATAGACCAATAGGTAAAAAGATAAAATAATGCGGTCTTTCATTTGACAGTAACAATTTCATCTTATTGCTAAGTAGAAAAATGAAGAACATGTTGGTGTCACATTGCATTTTGACAACTCTAGGTATACACATGCAAAAGCATAGCATTAAATCAAAATAAATTAACTTGTGACACATGAACACCACCATCTGTTTAAAATAGATTTGCTTATTAGAAACAAAGGCAAAAATCAAGTAATGTAAAGACTTCTCTGAGTAACACCGTCACCAGAGCCTATACTTCTAGACAAGCACTCCACCAACTGCGCTACATCCCTAGCCCCTCCAAATGGTGTTTGATGACCTAACTAAAACTCACAAAATGAACTTCCTAATCAATATACAGAATTTTTTTTTAGTTTAAATAGAGACATCATTGTTTTCACACTGTAGAGGTTTTTAAAAGTAAGAACTGCTTAACTAGGCATCCTGGCAGGAGATCCGAGTCAGGAGGATCACAAATTTGAGATAAGCCTAGGCTACATAATGAGACCCTACCCCACACCTTCACACAGACACACACATTCAAAAAAGAAGAAAGAACTGTTTGAATTTCTTTAAAAAATAGCCAAAGTAAGTATGCGCATTAGTAACCTCTTCATCTGTATCCTGGATATTCTCAGATGACACTGAAGAACATGGTGCCTCAAAATTCTGAAATGAGAAAGGATTTTGAGTTAAGCCTTGTATGATATATAACAGCATCTCTACATATGAGTGGTCAGACACCACAACTAGTGCCCATGCTGGTCCCAACAAAAAAAAAAAAACTAACAAAATCATTTACTTGTGTGTGTGTGTGTGTGTGTGTGTGTGTGTGTGTGTGTGTGTGTGTGTGTGTGTGTGTAAGTCAGAAGATAACTTGTGGGAGTCAGCTTTCTCCTTGCACTATATGGGTCCCAAGAATCAAAACCAAGTCATCATGCTTGGTGGCAAGTGCCTTCACACACTGAGCCACCTTGCCAGCCCCCACCACACTGACAAACAAGTGTCCCTAGACAATATTAAACCACCCCAAGAGATAAAACTGTCCCTATATGAGAAATCACCACTAGAAGAGAAAGACCTGTTCTCCCAACTCATAAAATGTGAATCATACTCTTTTGGGCTTTTAGTCATTAAAATACTCATCTTTAAATAACAGAATTATGCCCGGTGGTGTGACGCACACCTTTAATTGCAGCACTCGGGAGGCAGAGGCAGGCGGATCTCTGTGTGTTTGAGGCAAGCCTGGTCTACAGAAAAGGCTCAAAAGCTACAGAGAAACCCTGTCTTGGAGAAAAAAAACTTCCATAAAATAACAGAATTATATGCCACCCTAAGGAATACTCATCATAAAGATAAAAAGCAGGCTTTCAGTGGCAGAAAAATTAAATTTATTCAGAAATCACCAAATTGCTTCACAGCCCTTTGGCTAAGATCAAGTATAGAGGTCATTGAGCCATTTCTAAAAGTGACAAAAAGAAAAAGAAAAAAAGAAATATGAAAACTGTATTATAACTAAGGAGAAAAGGTCAAAAATCACAGAATTGCCTTATACAAAGCAAGAGCACCTCTAGAGGTTTTATTTTCTGTCTTCTAACAGAGACTGAAACAAATCTTTCAGAAATTCGAACTCTGTGCCAGAACTTTAATATTTTATGACAAAATCTCCCTCCTTAAATGTTATTAAAATTTCTTTAAGGTTTTCTTAAGTTAAAAAGTGCCAAGGAAGCTAGCTAGAGTAATCAGAACTGCTTGTAACTAGATATTCTAATACCCATGTTCTCTTCTTTAGGCTGGTTCTACTCTTTCTCTCTGACCTCACAACACTTCCAGAGAGGTGTATCAATCTATCACCCAATGTGGGAAATTCATGTTGTCTTTGAAACTTTCTAAATCTATTGCAAATGAAACATTAGTGGGCATTTAACTAGTGCTGTACCTTACTATCCTTTATTAAATACACTGAATGAGGATAACAGTTTTAGCTATCAAAGTGACTCTAAATGGGAAAACATGACTATCTTGCTTCCCTGATTACCTATCAGAGCCTCTCTTCCATCTACAAGATACAAAACAAAACACTAGGCTTTCCTATGAGATATCATGACCAAGACAACTCTTACAAAAAGTGCAAAGATGGTTCACAATATTATATACACCTGGGTAGAGATTTAAGATTCTAATTTAAGATGTGATATGTAACACATGCAGTTGTATGCAGAACTGCATGTAAGAAGTATACACAGAAAAGCCCAGTGCTAAGGAAATAAGTTAAAAGTCCACACTAAAGTAACATAAAACTGGAACTCTTTGTGCAGTAGGTAGGAAGTTGAATTGATAAAATTCCTCTCTGTCCCAGTCAACTTCCTTCCCTTGGAAGTATATCTTTTAATTAACCGTTGCTGCTGGGAATGCTATCCTTTCTAAATAAATTTTCTCCCTTTGCTTACTACTGTCTATACGTCTCTGTCCAGTTCTTTGTCCCAGAACACAAGGACCTGGATACTGCCCTGACTCAAAAACCAGGTGGTATCAATATCATCCTAAGGGAGCTGAAATGAAAGAGAACAAAACAAGACACAGCTACATTATCTCTATGACTAAATTTGAATCAGCTCTCTATGATTATCATCAATAAGAGAAGCAACTAAAACCTGAGTATTTTAAATAAATACTCCTTCATTTTATACATTACCTGGATATGGTTTTCCTTAGAATCTGAACAATTAACTTCTGGATGCTCGTGGCGGTCTTTTCTTTTCCCCTCACAAACAGTCTGCTTGCATGAAGAATCTGTAAACAAGTTTCCAGCTTTGTGCCTGTTCATATCTAATGACATCTGTGAACTTTTCAAGCATTCCCTTTCCTCCTGCTTAATCTTTGAATTACTAGAATCTGCACTAAAGACATTTTCTTCTACAAACTTCTGGAGGATACTAGATTTTTTGGGAATTTTGAAGCTGATCTTCTTCCTTCTAGATTCAAATGGTTCCTTGTTTATGTCACTGAAATTATAATTCTGAGGAAGTTGATTTTTCTTGCATTTCTCCAATTCTTCAGAACTGTCTCTAAGTTTATTGTTTTTTTCTTTCTTGAGTTCCTTCATATTCTCCTGAATAAGTGAACGAGACCAATTTTTTTCCTTTGTCTGGCCGTCAGCTTTAGATTTCATATCTCTGGTAATTTTAATGGCCCTATGTTTTTTTATTTCATAATCAAGCTTACTTCCAACATTTGTCAATTTACTATCTTTAAGTTTAGTATCTTTAGTTCCATTTGATGAACAATTCTGTGAAGTAACTTGATTGTTATTTGAATACGATATTACTTGGAGTTTAGTAGGTCCTTGGGTTGAAGAACTGAATTTTGGTCTCTTTCGGGGTGTGTCAACTTCTACATTCAATCTACAAAGCAGCACAGAAACTTAGGTTTTATTTGTTATACATACTGTTGAAATGTGTCATTATATTAGAGTTAATTGGGCTGGTTCTAAACTTCTTAAAAATGTAACAAACAGAGCTGGAGAGTGTGGTGATATACTACTTATGATTTATTAAAGCTTGCCTGAGGGTTCAGAAAGCAAAGCTAGGTTCAGTCACAGAGGTCAGGCAATGGTGATACACACCTTTAACCCCAGCAGTCATACTAGCAAGCCATAGAGTCAGGCAGTGGTGGAACACATCTTTAATTCCAGGACTCAGGAGACAGGTAAGCAAATGGATCTCTCTGAGTTCAAGGCCATCCTGACCTACACAACAGTGAAGAGTAACAGAACTCAGGTCTTTGATCCCAGCACTTGGGATCATATGCCTTTAATCCCAGCTGGAGACAGGAATGAGGAAGAGATATAGTTTTTGCCTCTGAGGATTCATGGAGATAGCATTCTGAGGATTCGTGGAGACAGGTTTGCATTTCAGCATGGTAGAGCTAAGAGCTACTGACTTGGCTGTTTTTATTTTTTGATTTCACATTATACTTCTTATATTTATGCCCATTATTAACAAGAAATTCCTTAACTATAAAAGTCTTTGAAATTTTTATCCAAAGAATAAAGACTAAAGAAAAATAATTTCCTTGTCTCTACCATCATTCTTCACATTCTTTAGTTATAATCACAAGATGGTTAATTAACATAATTTTAGAGCCATATCTATAATTTAGTAAATTACATGTTCTCTCATAAGTAATATATAAATAAACATGATCTATAAATAATTGATAAATTAGCTTCACAAGATCTCTACTAGCACATAATTAACTATCTTACTATAATTATGTATCGAAACCAAGTCTCTGAATTAATAATCCACACTGTGTCTGAGTGCATTTATACAACAGTTTTGATAGATTTTTTTTATCTCACTTAACTTTTTCCTTTTATTCACTTATTTATTTTTGTTTTGTTGAGACAGGATTTCTCTGTGTAGCCCAGGAACTCACTCTGTAAACCAGGCTGGCCTCAAACTCAAGAGATTCTCCAGCCTCTACCTCATGAGTGCTAGGATTAAAGGCATGTGCCACCACTGCCTGGCTTTTTGCTTTTTCTTCTCAACTTTTTCTTAACCTTCTAGTAATCTATGATATTACCAGAAATATCTGCATGCAAAACAATGCTAATCAAAGTAAATAAGTTTTTCCACATTTAAACATTTAGTCTTGAGTTAGCAAGGTGGCTCAGTGGATAAAAAAACTTACCACCACCAAGCCTGACAACTTGAGTTCAATTCCTGGAACCCACATAGTACAAAGATAAAACCTACTCATGCAAGTTGTTCTCTGACCTCCATATACATACCAAGGCACACAGGCATGCCCCCAAATAAAATAAATACAAAAGTAATTAAAATTTAAATAAACAAATACTTAGTACATGATGTTTATCATGGTGCCTTAAGATAAGGCAAGAGGATCATGAACTCAAGATCTAACCTAGGCTACACAGCAAACTCCAGCCCAACATGATCTACATAGCAATACCCTTTCCCTAAATCCCAAAGGTGGATATATAACCCAATGATAGAGTGCTTGCCTACCACTCAAGATACTGGGGTTCGAGACTAAGTACTGAAGGGAAAAATCTTTTAGTCTCAATTAATTTTGAGCTAAAACTATAAAAAGATGACAAGAAAAAGAACTTACCTTTTCAGATCTTGTTTTCTGTTTGTATTATAGTATATAATATCTGTATCATCTGGTTTCTGAAATTAAAAAAATTATTTAGAAAATATAAATTGTGTATTGTTGTTATAGTTACAGGGAAGAATGGGAAACATCTGCATTCATGAATAGGCTACCATAATAGTTTACTTATAATTTCTAATCATCTTGGGGCAGACATTATCATCTTTATTTTATAGACCTGTCAGAATGGCTAAGATAAAAAACACAAGTGACAGCTCACAATGGTGAGGATGTGGAGCAAGGGGAACACTCCTCCACTGCTGGTGGGAGTGCAAACTAGTATAGTCACTACAAAAATCAGTATGGCAGATCCTCAGAAAACTGGGGATTGCTCTACCTCAAGACCCAGCTATACCACTCTTGGGCATATGCCCAATGGACACTACCACAACTATGTCCATAGAGGCTTTATCAATAGTAGCAAGAAACTGAAAACAACCTAGATGTCTCTCAACTGAAGAATGAATAAAGAAAATGTGGTACATTTACACAACAGAGCATCACTCAGCTGTTAAAAACAATGACATCATGATATTTTCAGGCAAATAGATGGAACTAGAAAAACTCATCCTGGGTGAGATAATCCAGACTGAGAAAGTCAAACATTGTAAGTATCACTTATAAGTGGTCATTAGCTGATAAGTAAAGGACAAACATGCTATAATCCACAGACTCAGAGAGGGTCAGGGGAAGGAAAATATAATAGATTTTATGGGTGCACTTGTGGCGGGTGGGGATAGAAATAAGAGGGCTCAGGCCGGGGTGGGTGTATGACAGAAACAGAGGGAAAGAGCACTGGGCATTTGAGGAACAATGTAGAAACCTAGTGCAGTGAAACTCCTTGGAATATACAAGTAACCCTAGCAAAGTCTCCTAGTAATGGGGGAAGATGGCACCCAAACTAGCCATCTTCTATAACCAGGCAAGGCTCCCAGGCGTCAGACTGGTGTAGCATGATAAATAAAAGATCCAGAGACAGATATTGGTGTTCAAATTTCAAGCTGAAAATCAGAAAAGCCAAGCAGCCAGCCATTAGCTCTCACCTCTATCTCAGCTCAGACCAATGGGGCGATCCTCAAACTGCTCCCGACTTCACTGCTCCTCAGTGTGGCCAGAGACTAATGAGACTGACTACTAGAGATCCTGCTCCTATCTTTTACACCTGTCTACTTCTGGGATTAAAGGTGTGAACTCTGTTACTCTTCCAGACTGATGCAATCTCATGTATCCTGCATGGCCTTGAACTCAGAGAGATACATCTACCTCTTAATCCTGAGTCCTGGGATTAAAGGTATGTATTGCCACTCCCTGATCTCTATACCTTGAGGCTGACTTTGCTTTCTGAATCCTCAGACAAGCTTTAATAAATTATAAATATATCACCACAGACTGGGATATCAACCCAGCCACAAAACCTTCAACCTACAATCTGTCCTGTCTGCAAGTTGTGCTGAGGCAATGGTGGTACAGAGCTCGTGGAAGTGGCCAACTCATGACAGGTCCAACTTGCTGCCCACACCAGGAGAGAGAGCCCACACCTGACACTACCTGGATGACCAGAAACCAGAGGCAGGACACTCAAAGACCCAGGATAGAACCAAACACAACTGGCAAAGAAAAAAAAAAAGCCAATGACATGATTCCTAAGGATATCCTGCTATAATCATAGATAGGTACCTAGCCCAATTGTTATCAGAGGGGTGTCATCCAGCAACTGATAGAGGCAGATGGAGAGACCTAAAACCAAACACTAGGTGGAGCCAGGGGAACCCTGCAGAAGAAAAAGACAGATTTAGCTAGAGGACACCAGGAGAATAAGGCCCACAGAATCGTCTAAGCAGAACTCATAGGAACTCACAGGAACTTAAGTGGCAAATATGGTCCTTGTGTGGGTCTAAGCTAGATCCTCGTAGCTCAGTGTTCTTGTGGGACTCTCAATAATGGTAGTATGTGGGGGGAGTGTCTCTGACTCTTTTGCCCATGCTTGGGACCCTTTTCCTCCTACTGGGTTGCCATATCCAGATGTGATATGATTTGTGCTCAGTCTTAACTGTATCTTGTTAGACCATGTTCAATGGATATCCCTGGGATATTTTTCTTTATTTTTAAGGGAAACAGAGGAGTTGATCTGGGGGAAAGGGGAGGTGAGGGAGGAGCTGAGAGGAGTGGAGGGAGAAACTGTGGTGGGGATGTAATGTATGAGAGAATAAAAGTTAAAAAATAAACCATTTTAATCTTTATAACATATCTTTACTCTTTCCTTCCCTCTCCCTCCTTCCTTTCTTTGGAAATAGATCTTATTCTACACCTCAGGCTGAACTAGAATTGTGTAACCTAGGCTACCCTCAAATTTTCAGCAACCTTCCTGAGTGCTAATATTATAGGTGTGACCTAGCACCGTGGAGGGGAAAACAAGTGAATGCTGGGAGCTCACTGGCCAAACAACCGAGCCAAATCAGTAAGCTCCTGGTTTAGTGAAAGACTCTGCTTTTTACAGTAAGATGAGAATGACTGAGGAACACATGCAGTATTGACTTCTTGGCTCCAAGCACATGAGCATACAACCGCATGAACACACACACACACTGACACAACTGTACCCCAAAAATTATATAAACTATGTAGCAAGACCTTGTCTCAACAAATCAACTGTAAAAATAAATATAACAGTGTACATAAGAAGACAGAATAACTCTAAATTTATTTCCATGTATATCAACATAAGAAATAAAACTTGCTAGGGGTGGTAACACATGCACTTAATCCCAGCATTCAGGAGAGGCCGGCAGATCTCTGAGTTTGAGGCCAGGCTGGTTTATGTTATCAAGCTCCAGGCCAGCCAAGACTAGATAGTGAAACCCTGTCTCTAAAAAAGTAAAAACATGATAAATGACTTTTGGAAAAGAAAAAGAAAAACAAAACACTGGTTTTCTATTGGCTTTCACAAATTAAGCACAATAGAAAAATAAAGAATTTTTTTTTACCATAGACCCTCTAACTGTACATTAAAACTTTACTATGTCTAAGTGCATTGAGTATCATATGCCTATAGGTCCAACTACTTGGAAAAGTAAAACAGAAGGATTCATTCATCCAAGAGTTCAAGGCCAGCCTCAGCAATATAGTAAGCATCAATCTCATGAAAATTTAAAAAAAGAAACTTCAAGATTAATATGTATTGAGTCATTGTATTTAAACACTTACCAGTTTTCTCTTCTTGGTTGAAACAGGTTTAATATAGTGTGCTGAACTAGTAGAGCCTACTGAGATTTCTCCCTCCTTCTTCTCCTAAGAATGTCATTTAGGAGAAAAAAATGAACAGAAAATCACAAAATAAAGCATGACTTAATCACTATTATAAACTGACATTCTCATTTAAAAATGAGCCCTGAGAACATTTAGATACAAACTTTAATAAGAAGGGAGCTCAACTAGAAGGATCCAAAAAGCAATTAGAAGCCTTGGGTACTTCCAAACTGGAGGCAAGATAAGTACAGCCAAATAAGAACATTGTGAAACAGCATTGCCACAGTGGGATTCAATCCATAAAACAAAACTGGATGTCCCACTTTCCAGTAGATCTTGAACTCAAAATGCTGAAGACAATGTTGTTTTAAGTATCTACTATGTACCAAAGATACAGACCAAGAGCTGAGTCTTCAAAACAAAACAATAAAAATAAAAACAAGTTCTTGTCTCCATAAAGGTTAAAGATCTAGTGCAGAAACTTACTGATATGTTTAGAATGATGCTTTCCATGAAATATAACAGAGAAGGTAGACAAAAAGGTGAAGAGCTCTAAGTAGGAAGATCTGCAATTTTTAAATGTGTTCATAAAAGATTCTATTGATTAAACTAACAGCTGAATGGAGACCTAAATAAAGAAACAAGGACTGAATATGCAGCTCAGTAGGTAGACTGCTTTCTAGCATACATAAGGTCCTGTATGCAATCTTCAGCACTATATACACCAGGCACAGTGGTGCACACTTGCAATCCAAGTACTCAGGAGGTAGAGACAGGATGATCAGATACTCAAGGTCATTCCTAGTCCCCAGGAATTTGAGGCCAGCCTGGATACTTAAGACCCTATCTAAAATAAAAAGAAACATGGCTGGAGAGATGGCTCAGAGATTAATACATACTGCTCTTACAGTGGACTCATTTGGTTTCTGACATCCATGTCAGACAATTCACATGCAACTTAGGCTTAGGGGCATCTGAAGCCCTCTGGATTCCTTGGCACCTGCAGTCACATGTTCAAACATACACACAGATACACACATACACACACACACACACACACACACACACACACACACAATTTCAAAAGTAAAATCATTTTTAAAAATGGAGCAAACAGTATATTTTCAATTTAAAGGAAATAACTGACAAGGGAGAAACCCCAGAGGCAGGAATGCTCCTAAGTAACTGGAACAAAGACACCATTAAGTAGAAAGTAATGGTAAGATGAAATGGAGAGAGGGTCTCCCAGTCCCAACAAGGGGCAGTTAGCATAGAAAACCACAAGTACAGAACTGAAAAGTGACACATTCTGACCTATATTGCAATAGGATCACATTGGTCACTGTGTTAAGAATAAACCATGAGGAGGCAAAGGTAAAGACAGAAAGAAGAATTTAGAAACCAGTGGAACCAAAGAAAACAAGTTATTTGCTTAAATCATGGCAACAACAAGAAAGGAAGTAGTGAGGCTTCTAGTATGTTAAAAAGAGAAAACCGGACAGAAATCACTTATAGACTGGTGGCTGCAGGTATGGGCTAACTTGGTAGGGCTAACTACCAAGTTTTGGCCTAGATTGAAGAAATGGAACTATAGTTTATCAAATTAGGAAAACTAAGCTTGGGTACTTGAAAGGTTATAGTTTAATGAGTAAGAAAGCAAGGTATAGTGGCATATCCCTTTAATCTCAGCTTGAAGGAGGCAGAGTGATCTCTTTGTGTTCAAGGTTAGCCTGATCTACAGAGTAAGTTCCAGGACAGCTAGGGCTAAATGTAGAGATATCCTGACTGAAAAAAAAAGAAAGAAAGAAAGAAAGAAAGAAAGAAAGAAAGAAAGAAAGAAAGAAAGAAAGAAAGACAGAGGGAGGGAAGTGGAAAGGGAAAGGGAAAGGGAGGGGAGGGGAGAGGAGGGGAGGGGAAGGGACAGGACGGGACTGGGGAACGGGACAGGACCAGAAATGAAGGAAAGGGAAGGGAAAAGAGCTATGTGTAGTGATGCAGGCCTATAATGCCAGCTCTTAGGAAGACTGAGATCAAAGGATGACAAGTTTGAGTCTAGACTGTGCTACATTAACAATACCTTGACAAGTCTGCTTCAAGAAAAAAATAAGAAATAAGGAAAATTAACAAAGCAAAGTACCAGCCGGACATTGGTGGCACACGCTTTTAATCCCCAGCACTTGGGAGGCAGAGACAGGCGAATCTTTGTGAGTTCGAGACCAGCCTGGTCTACAAGAACTAGTTCCAGGACAGCCTCCAAAGCCACAGAGAAACCCTGTCTTGAAAAACCAAAAACCAAAAACCAAAAACAAAAAACAAAACAAAACAAAGCAAAGTACCTCAGAAGTCAAGTCAGGAAAGTGTTTCAGAGAAAAGGCATAACCAACTACAGCAGACACTGCTGGCATGTCAAGCAAGGCAGCTCTCAGAGTTAAATGATGGTGTTAGCAACATAGAAACCATTGCAAATCTTGAGGAGAACACATATAGAGAAAACAACTGTCTAGGCTTCAATTTCCTTTCTGTGATTTGGATAATAAAAGCAACTACCTTATAAATTTGCAATAAATTAAATAATGCCAAGAACTGAAAGCAAATGGTTTTCCCTTGGGACTGATGGACAAAATGAAATTTTTAAATATCATTGTAAAATTAAGGTGCTTCTTTTTCATCATACAATTTTTAAAAAAGAGGAATCATTAGGTAACAAAATTAAAATTCTTACTTCAACAAAAGTTGGTGAAGAAGTGATCTCTTTTTTCTGAGACTTTTCTCCTTTCCCACAAGATTCTTTGATAGACATCTTGAGAGACTAAAAGAAACATTCAAAACACATTTTTTTTCACCACAGTAAAAAGTATATCACAAGCCACTCTTCTCTTAGTTATATAGGACTGCAGTTTTACAAAATGATTTTCATTTTCTTGCCACATCCAGCACAGCAGCTAAAACACGCAACTCTAAAATCTGTGTTCCTAGGAAAGATCAAAACCAGAGACTCTCTGGGTTTTTCACCAGGGAAAGAAAACTTTGACTGACAGTGTCAGGCTTATGTAGAGTTTTAAAGATACTAAGGGCTCTGAGCAACCACAAGACATACTTCCCAAAAAGGCATATCTAAAGGCACTTTCCTTCTGGCTATATCAGATGGCCCTATGGTTTTCCCAAGACATGGTAAACTCAAGGGGAAGATTATCTGAATCACAGGTTGCCCTTGAATCTATGTTTGCCCTTTGATGGAAGCTTTAAAAGCCCTCAGCATAGTAACAACAACTTTTAATCACTTTCAAGATACGGTTTTCTCTCAGTTTTTCTTTACTTACATTCTCTTGCCTAAAGATCTGCTCCTTCAGCTTCAATCATCTTTTCAGGAATGGTTCTCAAGACACTGCCTTGAAACTCTGCTTCTCCCTGAAGCATTAGACCAGCACTTTTGGCTGCCCTAAAAAGACTATTTATTTTGCCCTACCTACACCAGAAAACAGATTAACCATAACTCTTCATTTCTCAATACACTGTCATCACTTACTTGTGATACTTCAAATGAACTGCATACATTTTTCTAAGCCCCAGTTTCATCTTATGTAAAATAAAGACAAATTATCCTAGAACTTTTATTTTTGAGACAGGGTTTCTCTGTGTATATCTGGCTATCCTGGAAGTAGCTGTGTAGAACAGGCTGGTCTCTAATTCACAGAGATCCACCTGCTTCTGTCTTCCAAGTGCTAGGATTAAAGGTGTGCACCATCACCGCTTGGTCATAGAACATTTTTTAAGGAACCAGAGTATAGTACATATAAAAATTACTTTGAAGTTGGTATGAAGGCTCAATGGACAAAAGTGCTTCCTACATAAGCCTGATGACCTGAGTTTAATCTCCCAATCCCATGGTAGGAGAGAAGTGACTCCTAAAAGTTGTCTTTTCATTTCCACACAGGCACTGTAACAAGTATGCAACCAAACTAATAAAAAGTTTAAACAAAGTTGTATATAGTAGGATCTAAAAAAATACCTTTGTGGTTGGCTTTCTACTAGACCTTGAGTTTCTTGAAATGTGTGCTGTATTAAAAATGTTGAAGGCAGAATGGCTTAACAGAACATGCCTATAATCTCAGCATTTTGGAACCTATAGCACATTTTGGAACCTATAGCAGGAGGATTGCTGCAAGTCCCAGGCCAAAGGGGGCTACATAATAAGTTCTTCAGAGTAAGACTATTTAAAAGAACAAAGCACACAAGAATGGGAGAAATAGTCATGAATGACTAATTGAATGAGTGAATTCATTCTCCTTAGTGTATTTTCTAGTCTGAGCTATTTCCAACTCTTTCCTAAACCACAGGTTCTCTGTCCATTTCCTAACCCAGTTTTACTTTTTAAAACTTTTATTTTTATTTATATTTTATGTATGAGTGTTCTGCATGTAAGGTTGCATGCCAGAAAAGGGCATAAGATCCTATTATAGATGGTTGTGGGCCACCATATAGTTGCTGGGAACTAAATTTAGAACCTCTGGAAGAGTAGCCAATGTTCTTAACCCTTAAGCCATCTTTCCAGCCCCTAAATATTTTTGTTTGTTTGTTTGCCCCCACCCCACCCCCAGACAGGGTTTCTCTGTATGACAACCCTAGCTGTCCTGGAACTCATTTTGTAGACCAGGCTGGCCTCAAACTCTGCCTCTGCCTCCGGAGTGCTGGAATTAAATGTACACACCACCATTGGCCCAGTTTTGCTTTTCTAGTTCTGTTTTAGACTAAGTCAATACCATTAGCCAATGGGAAAAAAAAGCAGAAAAGAAATTGTTAAGGTAAGCACAGCCATACCTTATCGTCATAAACAACAGTCTCAAGCTTGTGGGCACTGGCAGTACAGAGCAGCATCCTGTGCTGGGATACGGTGGCCAGAGATTGGAAACATCACCAGATCTATTGGGGCAGGACAGCATGAAAGTGAAGTACAAAGAAGAGTTAATAGCTGGCAGTGACAATACGAATAACAGAGACTATAAACCAAGTAATCCAATTACTCCAGATCATTCATGATCTAAACAGGTAAAGTTGTATAAAATAAGATCTGCCAGCATTCAGGAGGCAGTGACAAGCTACATAGACACCCTGTCTCAAAATAAATAAATAAGCAAACAAACAACAAATATATATATATATATATATATATATACACATACACACATACATATGAACTTGAAACAAAAAATACTGGTAGTTAACAGGAAAAAAAACTTACAAAATTAACACATGAACAGTCAACAAACTTTAAGAATAATCTCTTAAGTACCAAAAATGTTTGCCTTCAAAGATAGTCTATGGTAACAGCTGAATTCATGCTAAACCTTCCAGCTTATAGTAGCAGTCTTTTTTTCTCTTTTTTAAAGAATTTCATTCCAGTAGCGTGGAAGACACAATAAGGAAACAAACAAACAAACAAAAACAAAAAAAACTCAGCCGGGTGTTGGTGGCACATGCTTTTAATCCCAGCATTAGGGAGGCAGAGGCAGGTGGATTTCTGTGGGTTCAAGGTCAGCCTGGTCTATAGAGCAAGTTCTACGATAGGTTCCAAAGCAATACAGAGAAACCCTGTCTAAAAAAACAAAAACAAAAAAACCACTCAAGCCTGGCCTAGTGGCCCATGCTATCTATAGTCTCAGCTACATAAAGGCTGAGGCAGGAGGCCAGCCTGAGTCCAGGAGTTCTAAATCAACCTGGATTATTTCTTAAAATAAAACATTTTGAGGCGGGGTGATGGTGGCAGATGCCATTAATCCCAGCACTTGTGGGCAGAGGCAGGTGGATCTCTGTGAGTTTACTGGCCAGCCTGGTCTATAGAGTGAGTTCCTGTACAACCAAGGCTACACAGAGAAACCCTGTACTGAAAAACAAAAACAAAAACAAAAAAGGCCTTACTTACTTACAGAGTATGAGGCTGCCTTTGACATTTTTGCTGATCCGTGTTAGTCTAATGTTGTGTTGGATATACTAACATTATTTGAAAATTCTCTTCCAATGAGATAGTAGGAGAAGAGAACTAAATAATGCACTATCCAAAGAAAAGTGTCTATCTCAGGTAGGGCTTCTATTGCTGTAATAAAGACCATAACCAAAAACAAGCTGATAAGGAAAGGGTTTATATGTCCACATCACACAGTCCCCTACTAAAGGAAGTATGGGCAGGACCATGAAGGCAGGAGTTAATTCAGGAGCTATAGAGGAGTGCTGCTTACTGGCTTGTTCAGTCACTTCCTCATATGCCCCAGAGGTGATAGCATCCACAATGGGCTTTGCCCTCCCACATCAACTACTAAATTAAAAAGTACCCTCGCCAAGAGTGGTGGCACATGCATTTAACCCCACAACTCTGGAGGCAAAGACAGGCAGATCTCCATGAGTTCCAGGCCAGCCTGGGTTTTTTTTTGTTGTTGTTGTTTTGTTTTTTTTGGGGGGGGGAGTAGTGGTGGTGGTGGTGGTTACACTGTTTTATAATGAGTTCCAAGGTTTTATGGTGAGACACTGTCTCAAAAACCAAACAAGAAAATGCCCTGCAGACTTGCCTATAGACCAATCTTATGGAGACATTTTTTTAATTAAGATTCTCTCTTCCCAGATATGTCTCTAACCTATGTCACTTGACCTAAAACTAGCAAGGAGGGCATCCATGTGTGCTATGACATACTTTATATTCATTTTAATGTTCACATTCCTTTAATGTAAATTAAAAAAATTACTGAGGAGGACTTCCTAGGTGAGCAGTTCTCTAGATTTCAGTTTCTTAAACTATGTGTTACAACCTTATATTGGAAATATTAAAAGATTTCTGAACTACACTCACTAGTACTGTTCCAATGCAGCCTTGACCACAGTATACGTGCACTTTGTATTTCATATGCCCTCATACCCACAAAACCCCAGCTAATACTGCTTGAAACACCGTGGCTCATACTCATGACTGTTTTATGTCATAACTGCAGTGCTTTTACAGGATATGCAAAATGTTCTGCTCTTATAGAAAAACATTAATAATGGCTTGATTACAGAAAACAAAGAATGTTAATATCTTCATACAGCAATTCTTCAGCATATAAGCATCCAGTTACTTATCTTTGGACTGCACTGTGTTAGAATGCTTGCATGCAAATTGATGTTTGAGTTGTTGACTTCAGTTTCATATTTTAAAAAAGTCAAATTAATTTTGGTTTGAGATTAGGAAAAAATTTCCAACCATTTTTGAAATGATCCTAGATACATTTCTGTTGGTATGCATTATATATTTATGTGAAGCAATGTTCTCTGCACTGGTGATTATGAAATCAAATTATCAGCTGGGCAGTGTTGGCAAATGTCAGCCTGGTCTACAAAGTGAGTTCCAAGACAGCCAGGGTTGTTACACAGAGAAACCCTGTCTTGAAAAACAAACAAAATGAGATAGCTTATTTGGCAATGCAACTGATGCTTAAGTCTTTCTTTAAACTGATAATTCCTTCAAGCTTACAAATTCTGAACACTGACACTGAATGAATCCCCTCCCACACCCTAATATTTACTAATCATATGTTTACTAACTGGCATTAAATGAGGTTAAAATGTTAAGACAAGCTTTCAAAGTAAGAAGAAAAAAGAAAATCAAGTGCTGAGGATGTCTCTTAGAGACAAGATCCAGTGCTTGCTATGCTATTCCTACCCAGAGCCCTGGGTTTCATCCTCAACCTCACAAAGTCTGCCAAGAGCAGAGGAGTGAGGGGTGGGGTGGGAGGTTCCAGAAATTAAAAATAATGTGAAGTCTTGGATGGTGCACAGATATAGTTAGCATTTCTATAAGTTGTAATCGTGCTATTATCCCACTTTTAATGACTGTTAAATAGTCAACACTATACATAAGAATAGTTGTCAAAAAGAGGCGAGGAGTTGACTAAAAGGGCTTTAGTTGTCTTGTGCTATTATCAGGCCTCTCTCCTACAAGACTGAGCTGAAGAGATAGGCAAGCATTCTACCCCTAAGAGAAGCGCATTTGCAGCCATAGAGGGACTTTGGAACTTGGGGAAGATTCGTGGGGACAATCTGTCTACATTAAACTGGAGAAGGAAAAACATCTTCAAGCACACTTCCCAACTAGGAAGAGTAACGAGAAGGTAAACTTCCAGACGGCATTTCACAGTGCCAAATAATCACCTGTCGTTTCTTATGATTTCCCAACAGAGGAAATAGACAAGTGAGCAAGGACTTAGATTTATTAACTGAAGTGTGCGTTTTGTACCTGAGAACCTTCCCTACTGCCTTTAACATTCAAGAAAGTCCCAAGCTGAGCAGTCATAAAGAAAATTTGTTTTTTGTTTGTTTTTCCATCTGCTCCAATGTGCTTTTTAAGAACGAGTAAGGCTTCCATGCCAAACAAGTCCAGGATAAAAAAGATAAAATCTGATGGGCGCCCGGCGGCGGTGGTGCACGCCTTTAATCCCAGCACTCGGGAGGCAGACGCAGGCGAATCTCTGTGAGTTCGAGGCCGGGCTAGTCCGCCAGCCTCCAAACCAAGACAGAGAAACCTTGTCTCGTAAAAACCAAAAAAAAAAAACAAAAACAAAAAACAAAACAAAAAAAAAATGATAGAATCTGATGGGCGCCCGACGGTGGTGGCGCACGCCTTTAATCTCAGCACTCGAGGCAGAGGCAGGTGTAGTTCTGTGAGTTCGAGGCCAGCCTGGTCTACAGAGCAAGTTCTAGGACGGCCACGGCTACACAGAGAAACCCTGTCTCGAAAAACAAAACAAACAAACGGCAAAACCTGAGGTGCAGAGGATTCACCAGTCAGCTACCTCAGAGAAACTAAAACGCATCAAAGTGTCCGGAAGCGCAGCCCTTTGTTATTATTAAAAAGCCTAAAAACAAGTCAGAACAGCAGAAACCATCTCCTAATGCACGCCGCACTTGTTCTGGTAACGTAAAGGCTGAAGGAGAACAGAGCGTGAAGAGGCGTCCGGTCGGCAGTGTGAGGAAAGTTGGGGGCAGGGGGGAGGCAGACCCAGGACTCTGGGTCAGCGCGACTGACAGAAACTGCCTCAGCCCCTCGGCAGCCGCCATCCCCTCAGGTCAGCTGGAGCAACCTGGCTCCCGGCCACACCCTTCACAGAGCTGACCGGCAGCCGGCCAAGCCCCGAGTGTCCCGCCACACCTCAGCTCGCAGCCCGCCGGCTTCCGGTCACCCGAGGCCAGGAGTGAAAGGCTGAGTCCCGCGAAAAGCCCGTGAGTCCCTTCACGCCCTAACTTACCAGCGCCGGAGGCGGCGGCAGCGACAGCGGCGACTCCCCAGCCCCCGCGGGTGCCAGAGACGCCTTCCCGAGCCCGCGGCACGCTGGGAAATGTAGTTCCGGGCTCTGACCCAGCCAGGCGCCGAACACTCCAGGGAATTCTAGAGCCCTCTACGATCTCTGTGTACCTCCTCCGAGAACCGGAACTTAGCCCCGCCCAGGATGCGCGATGGCTCCTGGGTATTGTAGTCTTAGCTCGGTTCGGTGGCGGCCGGCGGAGCCCAGAAGCACCGAGGAAACGGAACTCTTTCTCCTCATTGGACACTGTCCGCGACACGCTTCTGCGCAGTCCGTGGTGGCGTCGTAACGCCTCGGGGAAGGGGAAGCCGGTGAAGGCTCGAACCGCTGCCTCTGGCTTTCTGTTTTCTTGCTGACAGGGTTGGGTCCCTGGCGCTTCGCTGTTTGTCTGTGGCACGCGTGCAACCTTCCCATTTGCTTCCCGGCCCTGGATCCAGTCCTGCGGGCATTAACGTCAATTCTATCGCTCCGCCGCGAGTCCCCTCCGCGTCCCCTGGCACGGAGGCCGTAACTATGGAGAATATGGCGGAGGAGGAGCTGCCACCCCAGGAGGAGGAGGAGGCCCAGGTCAGGGTCCCGACCCCGGCCCCAGATTCGGCTCTGGACTCGGCTCCGACGCCGGACTCGGCTCCAGTCCCAGCCCTTGCCCCGGCCCCGGCTCCGGCCCTGTCCCCGTCCCTAGCCTCTGTCCCCGAGGAGGCTGAAAGCAGTAAGTGCAGACGGCCTGATCTTTCTGCCGCAGAGAAGCGAGAAACCGTGCCTCGCTGGGGAGGCCCTTCTCCGGGGTGGTTTTTAATGTGGAAAGGCAGAATTAGGGAAACGGGAGAAGGAGGAACCAGAGCGGCAGGTAAGCGTGCAAGGAGTACAGAATGGAAGGGGGTGTCTCCATAAACCTCGAGGACATCGTCATGAAGGATCTGTGAAGGCCAGGGGTGATGCAGATAAAAATAAACAGTGAGATTAGTGGCGGTGGCGGTTAGTGTCTTTAGTAGTTTCCGTCTCAACCCAGTCTCCAACAGTTAAATGACTCCTTTCAACTGTGTTACTACTATCTGAGGTGGAGATCCTGTCAAGATTTAGAAACTGTAAACTAATTTTTCTGTCAGGACCTACACACACACACACACACACACGTAGGTGGATTTGTCTTACTAAATTGTCGGTAGTGTACTACAGAATTTCAAAAAGAATTTGAAATCCATTCTTATATGGAGAAGAATCTGCTAAATGCCAATTTGTACTTCATTCCATCAGAAGACGATTGTGAAAACTTAATACCCCATATTTTTGTTCCTTGAATGTGTTTATATATGTTCTGAGTGGTGATTTATTGGATCATACAGGAAACACAAGATTGATAATTAGCACTATAAGGATCTTCCTAACACTTTATATAGTGGGCCTAAGAAAAATTCAGCAAGTTCTTTCAACAAATCTTGTGATTCATAAATTGATCTTTGTACTTCTGAATTATCACTTATGAGAAATTAATTCACATTTCTAGGCCAATTTTGATGTATATAGAAGTCATTATCTAAGAAAATGATTTTCCAGTTCTAAAACTATATTTAAGAGTTGCAGGACAAGTCACAGGAAAGACAAAATCATCCAGTGGGTGCCTTTAGTGCAAACTACAGACCCTTCCTTCTTCCCTCCCTCCCTTCCTCCCTTCCTTCCTTTCTTTCTTCCTCTCTTTATCTACAATCTGATGGGTAGAGAGTTTTACACTCTTAAGGAAATAGCTACTGCCCTCCGGCTTACATTTTTTTGTTTGTTTGTTTTGTTGTTGTTTTTCAAAACATGGTTTCTCTGTATTGCTTTGGAGCCTGACCTGGAACTCTCTCTGTAGACCAGGCTAGCTTGGAACTCACAGAGATCCGCCTGCCTCTGCCTCCCAAGTGCTGGGATTAATGGCGCGCACCACCCTGCCCTGAAGTAGTTCAGCAGTTTGGGGAATGTATGTCTTCTTCGACTCCTTACCATTTTAATACTGACACTGGGCATAGATAATGGCTCCACATGGTAGTGCATGTCTGTAATGTAGCAGGAGGGCTTGTAAATTAGAGATCAGCCTGGGCTCCTTAAGGAGACATTGTCTCAAAAGTGTGGGTAAGTGTTGGGGTGGGGGCCTGGAAATATTTGCATATAAATGCTAAAATAAATGTGTAGCTTGAAGAGTTTGTGCTGTTGAAGAAACCTACAAACACACGCTAATCATCTAAAAAAAATGTGTTTTCAAATGATCTAGTTAGTCCTTTGAAGTCAGTCAGAGCAGCCAGGCAAGATGAAGATGGTGATTCTGAACTAGAGTTGAAAATTGAAGAAAAAGTAACAGAAGTTGTGAAAGAACCTTCTAGTATATTGGATTTATCTGATTTAACAACAGGTTTGCTTTCTTGATTATTAGTATGTTAACAAAAAAAAAAAAAAAAGACAACAAGTTGTCTGCCTTAAACACAGAGTGATATCTACCATGTTGAGCCAAAAAGTGATTTCACAGATATTTGTAGGTTTGTCACGAATTTTCAGACAGATTTTTAAAAATTTCCTTCAATAGTGGACAAGATCGTTTTCGGTTTTGTTTTCCCAACTTGGGATCTTTGTCTTATCCTATGCTACTGACAGATTGCATACCTTTATGCAGCATTATATAACGTGTTGCATGCTCTGTCTGAACTATAAGACAGAACCTTTGGTGATTTCAAATGTGGTAGTTTAGTGTGTATACATGGATTCTTTTTTGACCATTACTATCAGCTCTAAAAACTAAAGATTGCCCCCCCCATTCATTTTAACTTTTTGAGCATGGCCTGGTATGTGAAAATTAATTAAGCCAGCATAGTGGCACATACCAGTAATCCCAGCATTTGGGAAACTGAGGCAGGAGAACAATGAGTTTGAAGCCAGCATGGACTACATAGTGAGTTCCAGACCAGTTTTAGCTATAGTGAGCCCCTATCTCGAAAAGGAAAAGCAAAAAGATAATTCATTGATGTCTGTCACTCTGCTTTTGCTTAGAAAATTGTCTTTTGAGCAGAAATGCCTGATGGTGTTGCATTCCAGAATTAGGAATAAAAATGTGCTCCTAAATTCAAAAAGTCTGGTGTTTTGTTTTTTTTTAAACTAGTTAACTATCCTTGGTGCCTGCTGAATACCCGTTCTGTATTTAACATTTAGTTACCAGAAAGATAATCAAGTACAACTACTGCCTTTTTGTTGTTTACTGGGAGAAAGACAAAGAAAGGACACAGATTAGACCCATGAGTGGAGGAGTGGACTGAAAATGAAGCTGGGAGAATAGACAGGAAGGCGGCAGCATCAAAAATTGAATTCAAATATTGGAGGGTTTAAATTATTTAGTATATTGACTGAGCCCTGAGGGTTACTCCCTTATCTCTGTCTCTTTGGAGATGTTTGCCTCAGTTGATATTACCTGGTCATATAAATTCAGGTTCCCATTCTGTAAATATACCTTTCCTTTGGAATGCACATGTATTTGGAACTTCTCATCCTTAGAAAAAACTAATTGCAATTTCACCTGTCTCCTTTTCTGCAGTACCAAAGTTCCTGAGGAAACATCTGCACTAGTTTTCTGCCTTTGCTTCCTCTTTCCATTTGGTTATCTATTCTCTGACCTTTTTAAAGCTCACAGGAAGCTGGACTGTGGTGGCACATACCCCTAATCCTAGCACTCAAGGCTGGAGCAGGCAAATCTGATTTAGAGGTCTACAGAGTGAGTTCCAGGACATCCAGGGCTACACAGAGAAACCCTGTCTCAAAAAAGAAAAAGAAAAAAAGCCACTGGAGACCATGTAGTAAATACAGTGGTCTTCTCTTGATCGTTCCATATACTACTTAGTTTTGTGCGTTTCTCTTTCATATACGCTTCTCCTTTGGTTCCTTCTCCTCCTCAATTCTCAAACTGCCCATTTATTCTTTCTGAGTCTAATTCTTTGACTCAACTTCTTTTTTCACTCACTTCTAGATTATTTCTACTTGCTTTACTCAGCAATGGATTTCACAGTTTGGAACTACTTCCCCCAGACACACACACACACACACCAAACCAAACCAAAAATATAGTCAAACATATTTTGGGATGCTTAACTCACAGTTTACAGGCTTCTAACTAGAGGAATGTGTAAAGTTTAGGAAATCAGCCGGGCGTTGGTGGCGCACGCCTTTAATCCCAGCACTCGGGAGGCAGAGGCAGGTGGATCTCTGTGAGTTCGAGACCAGCCTGGACTACCAAGCGAGTTCCAGGACAGCTTCCAAAGCCACAGAGAAACCCTGTCTCGAAAAACCAAAAAAAAAAAAAAAAAAAAAAAGTTCAGGAAATCTGAAAGTGCATAACTGAGACCAAAAAAAGAAATGATTGGGAAATATAAACTGCATAAGAATTAAAATGCATATTAATTGCATTCAAGAACTAATTTTTCAGCTGATGAGATGGACCTGTGGGTAAAGACATTCACTGCCTTACAGCCTGACCTACAGAATCAAGTTCCAGAACAGCCAGGGCTACATAGAGAAACCCAGTCTTGAAGAATCAAAACAACAACAACAAAAAAAGACTAGTCACCAAGTGTACTTAATTGAAATTCTGTTCATAATGTGTTAAACTGTATTCATTTGTTAATTCTAATAAGTTATATTCTCAGCCACTTTTTAGGATTGGCTAGGCAGTCCTTGGTATCATATTACCTTTACATCTAATAGTCATTTTATCTTCTCTTACATTATATAATTATTATCTTAAAAATTAGCATCTTAATCTCTTGCCTGTAATTAAAGTTCTTTGAAGACACAGAACATGGATTATAGGGCTGGAGAGATGGCTCAGAGGTTAAGAGCACTGACTGCTCTTCCAGAGGTCATGAGTTCAATTCCCAGCAACTACATGGTGGCTCACAACCATCTGTAATGAGATCTAGTGCCCTCTTCTGATGTGTACATGGAGGCAGGGTGTTGTATTCATAATAAGTAAATAAATTAAAAAAAAAACATGGATTATAGTTCTCAAGTTGTTTTGTACAGGGTAGAAGTTATTTTATTTTTCAATTTTTGTTTTTGTTTATTTTGTTGTTTTTTGTTTTTGACATGGTCTCCCATA